GCAAAATCTGGCAATTTCGGTCAATTCGGTCGTGACAATTGTCGGTTTATGCTTACAATCTCTACTATTTTTTCAATAGACAAAATGGTGGGCATAGTCAATGATCCCTAGGTTAAATCCACAGATTATTTCGAGAATGAGAAAATTATTTAAATTGGGGGTATTGTATTGTAAAGATATAAAAAGCTTATTTTTGCCCAAAAGGTAGAAACAGCTGGGGTCGGCATCGGTGCGTCGGATTGTTGTGTCCCGCCCCGCCCCGTTGAATTTTCGGGGTTCTCGAGCCCCGCCCCGCCCAGTGTGCCCCGTTTGCCCCGTGTGCCCCGAGTGCCCCGTTTTGATTTCATTTTTCATGTTATTTCAAAATTTGATAATAAGAAAAAGTAATTGAATTTCTATTTTTCTTCGGAATTCCCATATGAGATATTAGTTTCAATCGAAGTCAGTAGCAAATTCATTTGCTTCGACAAAAATCGAGAGCAGTGCAGTTTCTCCTACTCTCTTATATTTACAGCTTTATTTTTCTTGTTTACTTACTAACAGTGGTGTTTGCGGGCTCATCCGTATCAGAAACCGTCTAGACTCTCTAGAGTCTAGAGGGGATGCAATGGAAGACGCTCCAAAAGGAGGAACCCGCGAACGCCACTGTATGATTGATAGAAAAACATTCAAAAACCCTTATTTCAAAATTAAAATCTAACAGTATATGCATGAAGTAAGACTTAATTTTTTTAATTTTTTGTAAGCAAAAAGTGACAACAGACCCATTCCGACGGTCCCTACCGACCGAAATAAGCACAGTTTTTGCCAATTTATCTAACCTACTAACCCGACCTTGGATATTGGTGGTTGATTCCCACCCTAGATAGTGTGTCGATTTCTACGGTCCAAGTGAATCATTTTTGACCGTAGAAATCAACGCACCGTAGCAATCGACGTAAACCTCCAAAACGTAGAAAACGACGAGCACCCGGTTTTCTTGGGACAAATTCAAAGAGAGAGATTCTGGACATATTTTCTCAGCAGATATCTTCGACACCTGAATTTATGGTCAAACTTGAGTTTTTGAAGCCAATTATAGATTGGATTATCATTCTTGAATGACCAAAGTTCGAGTCGTTCCGATATTTAACAATGCAAAATATGTCAGAACTATATTACAATAGAGATTAAAACTGGTCACTCAGAAATGATAATCGCGGTATAACAAGACTGACGGCTAAAACGTTATTAAGGCTAGGGTGGTCGATTTTGGCCAAGTCTCAGGTTTTTTGACCCGCATTTTTGGATTCCTCAAAAATTTGGAGCAAAAACTCCTAATGCACTTTTTGGCTATCTCTACTCGATCTCCCGGAAATAACGACTAAAGCTGCAGAAAATTAGTGTATTTTGAAAGTGAACCAAATAATTTGAAATTTCAATCCTTTACAATAGTGGCATATGATACATTTTTGGTAAGCTAACTCTGCCAACTTTGAAGGCAGCGGAAGTGGCTTTTTTGGGATGACGGAAAAGCTTCTGTAATTCAGAAGATCTAGGATAGATCTCTATTTAAAGCTATTATGGGGTACTCTGGCATTCACAAGTCCAGAGTTTATGAGCCCTGCTTTGGGCCAAATCGACCACCCTACTAGGTTTACTTTTAAAATAATTGGAAAAATCGGAAAATTTAGTCGCAAATATTTGTCGATTAGCGTTGCGTTACGGAATCGACATCTCCAACAATATTTTTTAATTGTTTACCAATTGGTGATCATTAACAAAGTCTTTCTCATCTCCATCATAATTTTTTAGCTGAATATTATGGTATCGATACAGAAAAATTTCTGCGGAGCTAGGAAGATAATTCAGACGATATTTAAGAATCCGAAGCCCGATTAAATTAATCATTTTCAAAAATCTCTAGTTAAACAGTTATTCTTTCAGTCATTCTCTAGACCGAATTTATTTCGCTTAAAATCTCTCATTTTTCAATTCAGTGCACTACTCTGATGATTTCAAAAATATTTCGCGGGACCGGAAATCGACGAAAAACTTCTTGTCTAGTTTTGTAGAGCTCGTCGAGACGAGTCGAATGATATATCAAACTCCTGATAGTTTTAAGATTTTTCGTCAAAAAATAATAATAAGGTGTCTTATCAAAAATTTTCTGACCGGCGCCGTTTTTGTTCTAGAAAAGCTGAGGTGATGCTTGACCCCGGAAAATGATCCTCATGATCTGTTCTATTACAGCAAAAATTTCAGCTCGTCCTTACATATCCTGCTGTGCTTATCAGCGAAAAATCAAAAAATTAGTGCATTTTGTTGTCGCTGCACGTTCCTAATTTCTGGCCCATTTTCAGTCTCATTTCCTTTGAAAATGAAATTTTGCTGTTATAGAACAGATCATGAGGATTATTTTCCGGGGTTAAGCATGATCTCAGCTTTCCTAGAACAAAAACGGCGCTAGTCAGAAAATTTTTGATAAGACACCTTCTTATCATTTTTTTGACGGAAAATCTTAAAACTATCAGGAGTCTGATATATCATTCGACTCGTCTCGACGAGCTCTACAAAACTAGACAAGAAGTTTTTCGACGATTTCCGGGCCCGCGAAATATTTTTTGAAATCATCTCTCTCTCAAAGTCTAGCCCTCAAAGGTTAAATTTTTACTTCTTTTCGTATTACTTTCATTTTATTCTAGTACTGAAGATGGATCTCAGCATCCGAAAGCTTTACTGAAATAAACAAAACCATACCAATTTCACCGATGCCAAACAACAAGAAATAAAATATGAGTGTAGTTTGAAAACTTTCCTAGTTGTTTGAGCGAATTTATTTCCATATTCGCGTCTTGTTCTTGCTAAGATGCGAGAAGCCCGATTCCTTTTAGCATTTAAAGGGTAATGGTATACACCGGCGCGGCGCTGCTCACTCGATCCGCGCTCCGCCAGAACCTATTTCTCACGGCGGCATAAAATCTGAACGGGTAAAGATTTTTACAAAATTCAAATAGATTTGTAATCCACAAACTCTTTTCTTGTAAAAAACCAAAAATGATAGCAATTGTCAACGAGGAACATTTCAGATTTCTGTTTAAGGACCCCCATCATTTATTTTAAGGGTAATGGTATACATCGGCGCGGCGCTGCTCGCTCGATCCGCGCTCCGCCAGAACCTATTTCTCTCGAAGCCGTAAAATCTGAACGGACAAAGATTTTTCAAAATTCAAAAATATTCTGAATTATCAAAGCCCCTTCTATTGACACAGCAAAAATGGTAATGATTGTCAAAGAGGAACTATCTGAAAATTGCCAGTTTCCTTCAAATGACATTTTCTTCGATATTTCTCATCCAAAATTTTTGAAAATTAGACTATCTTGTAGAGAATCGTCAGCTCTACAAATCCTGTTTCTCAGATTTCTGTTTTAAGCCCTTCGGATTTTAATATGCGACCTTGAAGTCAGCAGCAGAGGTCGTGGCGTGAGAAATAGAGAGCGGATAGGCGCGAGAAGAAGTAGCGCTCTTTACAAATTGCGATGTGAAATTAATGAAAACTTAAAACGAAAATCCGAAAAACAGGATTTGTAGAGCTGACGATTCTCTACAAGCCAGTGTAATTTTCAAAAATTTTGGATGAGAAATATCGAAGAAAATGTCATTTGAAGGAAACTGGCAATTTTCAGATAGTTCCTCTTTGACAATCATTACCATTTTTGCTGTGTCAATAGAAGGGGCTTTGATAATTCAGAATATTTTTGAATTTTGAAAAAATCTTTGTCCGTTCAGATTTTACGGCTTCGAGAGAAATAGGTTCTGGCGGAGCGCGGATCGAGCGAGCAGCGCCGCGCCGATGTATACCATTACCCTTAAATCCAAATTTAAAAGAACTGTGCTCTTTTTCGCGGCTTTCCGCTTCCTATTTCTCACGCCATGAGTTCACAGCGCTGACTTCAAACTCGCTAAAAAATTTAGTAAGAGCTTAAAACAGAAGTCTGAAAAACAGGATTTGTAGAACAGACGATTCTCTATTAGACAGACGAATTTTTATAAAATTTTAACAAGAAATATAGTAGGAAATGTCATTTGAAGGAAACACGCGATTTTAAGAATGTTCCTCGTTGACAATTGCTGTCATTTTTTGTTTGTTGCAAGAAGAGAGTTTCCCGCGCCGATGTATACGGTATACAGTACCATTACCCTTAAGATTGTTCTCTGAAAAATGTTATTTTTAATAACTCATGTTATTAAGAGTTATTATTTGCAAATTTTCTATACAAACACAGTGAGAACCCTGTCTCAGAATCTGTAAAAATTTTGGAACCTGGCGGACATTTGAACGTTCTGAAATCTCCTGATGATCGAGCTCAGGTGACGGCGCGGTAGTGCATTACGGGCGGACCGCAGCTCGGAAATTAGTTTCTCTTACTAAACAACCCGGAAAATTTCTTCGAAAACTCTAATTTTTATATATATCCTCGAAAAGGCCTTTAGTTAGACTCTGTGAAAATTTGAAGACCAGGCAATTAGTAGAACCCTCCAAAATCAGCGAATAAGTGAGTGAAAGTGACAAAGCGCTATTGCACTACGCGCTCCGCGGGACGCCCGAAATGCCCCATAATCTCGGCGGGTGCACACTCTGACCTACTGTAGCGGATCATTCATAAATAAAACCGGGTAATCTTAGCAAAACAGTTAAAATGTCAAGAGCACTGTTTCACCTTTCAAAGTGCTGTCAGCGGTGATTCAGAGAGTGATTCAAGTTTTCATCGAAAGGGCTAGCAAACCATCTTTCTCCCAATCTATCAAATCATAGTTCTGCTATTCAAATATATCAATTTCTTTCATTTTTTTATTTGTCGTTATAATCTGACAAAGGATCTTGTGTTTGAATAGATTGATGTCGGTATCCACTTTTGTGTTTTCCATGCATCATGATTTTCGTTTTTATCCCAATCAGTCCTTCGAAAATATCGCTAAATGGGGATTCAAAATTTTAATAGAAGAATAATTTTATCGATTAATTTTGACACCCCTTGCTGAAAATCATCGCCGAGCTTAAAATAATCGAATGAATGGACAGTCCAAGAATTAGGCCCAATGCTCCACCACAGTCAGACAAGAACTCGTAAAAAGTGTACATTGGCTTTTCGTAAGTGAATATCTCGCTGATGTCTGCTTGATTGATGATGACTCCGACAGCGGCGACGTTCGGGAAGGGAACGGAGATCTTTCGAAGCTTTCCGTACATGATCGAGTCTTGCTTGTAAACTCTAGAATCGCAGGCGATTTCGCACTTGTTTGGAGCACCCTTGAAGCGCTGGATCAGTGGTGCTTTTCTAGAGGTCAATTTTCCGGCGCAGAAAATCTGCAGAGAAAGAAATCTTTGACCTCCACCTACGCATTGTGAGTGTTCATGAAAAGAACAATTTCTTGAATAATCTTGCGGGAAATAATGCGGTAAACAATTGCATGTCGAGTTGATATCTATGGAAGAATATGGAATTGTATGGACTTGTATTTAGGCTTTTAATTTTCTGAAATTCTTTCTTGAACAAGATTATCCATCGCGCAAGCTCCTTGGGTATAGATATTTTTGAAATACTTTTGCTGAGTGAGATTTCTTTCCGAATGGCATTCTCTTTACAAAGAATTATATACAGCTGTTAAATAAAGTAACCTGTAAGGAGAGCCAATGTACTTCGTCCTCAACTGCTGAATGGAAATGATTGGAGTCAACCCTTCGTAGAGAAACAAAGCTTGCTTCGGGTCCGGTACAGGATCCATCACGTGATTGTAGTACAAGATCATTCCGTCGAGAGCATCTTCCCAGCCAGCAGTCCAGTCCGACCGGTTGTACCCTGAGTGGCTGATGATGAGGATGATACCGTGCCCGTTTCCTACCGATAAGAAGAGACAAACTTCGATGATAGCCATAAGAGCTCTTCGCATCGTATTCATTACGATGATGCTCAACCGTATTGGGATTGAACTCGACACAGTTTCCGTGCATGCCAACTATTGGCCTCCAAAATGTATCGCCACCAGTGTTCCGGCAGCTTTTGCCATTATATCTGCAGCTGAAGACGTAATAGTCCGGTCGTGTTTGCGAGTAGAAATCATCGGCAACGGTGAAATTTGGATGGCTGAGAGTTTTGTTGACTTGCGTCAAAGCGATACTAGAATTCATTTATGGCCGAAAATAAGGGTCTCATCACGATAAATTCTCGACTTACTGGGAGCCATAATAAGCAGCCATCATTGGCTGGGTGAGATTAAACTTCGCGAGTTTCTTATTGCTGTGGAAGCTATTCATACTTTTAAAAGTTCAAACGGTCTAATTATAAAGTGCAATAGCCTTTGAAAGATATATTCAGTTTGAACCTAGCAAAGCGTGATCTTAGGAAACATGGTAGAATGGGAATGATGGACGCTCTGCATAATGGATTTGCGGTCAAAGTAAAAGTGGATGTTATTCCAGATCGCCCAAATCGTGTAGATCCAGCCGAAGAGATGGAAAAAGCTCTGCAAATACAAGATCAAATCCTCCTCTAGAATTAACCATCTTACCCACAAAAAGCCCAAACAAGTTCCATGGCCTCTCTTTTTACTCCCGCCGCAGCACAAACTCGCCAAAAACCCCATTTCAATCTCTTTCAAAAGAAAACTTTCATTTCTGTCGTTCTTTATTTGCGCGAAGTTCCATAAAGATTATTAAAAAAGGAAACGATAAATAACTCCGCCGCCATAAAATATAATAAATAATGCGCTGGAAAATATTTTTTTGAGTTCAAAAATTAAACATTGAATTTTCGAAAATCGATGCAATAATGGAGGTCTAAGATCTTTAACCATATTTTTTAAAAACAAAAGAATCGAATAATTTGCTTTTAAAATCTATTCTTTATTTTATTGCACAGTCAAAAAAGTAATTTTACAGTCTCACAACTTGCATTTCACATGTTTTTAACCAGATTGAAAAAGCTAGGCTTCGGCGACTTTTGCACTTTTTCGGGATTTAGAGTGAGCCTCGCTAGTGGGTTTTTTCCGTTCTTCATGAAGAAATCCTGAATATACTACCTTAAATACCAATTATGAGGCTTCCTACCTCGATTCCAGAATAAGTCTTGAACAAAGTCTCGGGCGAAGCGGTTCGGATATGTGCAGGGTTGATGATGTTCCTGAAGCCGGATCGTTTGTTAAAGTAACTTGTAGTATCATGAAGCAAAGCATAGGGTGACATTCGTAGGGCTAATCAAAAAGATCAACAAATTATCAATCAAATCTCCTTTTTTCTTTTTTCATTTTGATCTTTAACACTTTCATAAAGGAATATTTCTATTTGTTATACTTCCAAAAACACTGCTCAAAAAGAGCGAGAAAAGAGAAAAAGTAAGTTTCATCTCGTGATTTTTCTCGTTTTTGGCCAAGCCTGCTCCTCCTTTAAATACTTGGCGGTTCACGCTTGATCCGCAGCGGTGTTATTATTTCCAGGGCGGAAAAACAACAGATATAATGTGAATAATGCACAGTTCTAATGCGCCTTGCTCCAATGCATATTGCTGACAGATAACCGCGACGAGATGCCAATTTTGTTCAGAAACAATTCGATTCAACACGAATAACTTTCAAGTCTGTGCGTCAGACACTAAGGACCTAAGACCAAGGTAAAAATTGAATTACCAATTTTCGTTTGCAAACCAATTTTCAAATTTCTTTCCGTGATTTCGACTTTTTATTATCAGTAAATACTGCTTATGGTCCCAGCTTCCACCATCAAACGGCCGTTATTGGCAATTCGATAGCTTGTACTGCTACATTTGCAAATACAGTTATTTTACAAGTTTTTTTTCAGTGAATCAGATATTTTCACATGTTCTTTCATCGTGAAGAAATTGTTCATCGGCAGTTCTTTTCAGTTGCACGAGGTAGACTTCGGGCTAAAAATGAATAAATATTTGGTTAAATTAATTGACTTATAAATTATATTGTTATAAGTTATAATTTAATTGTTATTTTATTAAAATTCAAATTATCTAAATTTTTTATTTTTCAAATCATTTTTCAAATTAGAAAAATATTTTTATATGAAAACAAAAAATAAAGAAAAAATTATTTATTAAAAATCGTGTCCGTTCAAAAAATGATTGTGCTTTCAAAAAAAGAAAGAGAATATCCAGTCCTGAATCGTGTCTTTCACAAATTGAGCAGCACTCATCCACGTGATTACAAGAATTTCCAGGGCAGCTCATACCAACCGGGCAAGCAAAAGAGCAGTCCGAGCTCTTCAAACAGACTTCTTCAATGCAATCCCATCCAGTTCCAAGAAATGAGCAGTCGAAAACACACTCCGAAAGAACTGTGCATTCAACCGCATCGTCTGTGTTCGAGCAGCCAACGATGCCACCAACGGGGCACATGAGGCCGGGAACGTCTTCGCATTTGAAACCGCTGCAGCCAGCGTCAACTGCTGGTAATACCGAAGAAAGATCAATTCCACAATCCTCAATATCAAAGCATTGTGCTTTCGGACAAGCAACCCCGCATGGGCAAGTGAAACAAGAATACGAATCCGCAGCGGAGTTGTAAGTTGCCGGAGTGTTTCCGGGACAAACGCAACTATAAGAAGGCATTCCAAGAAAACTTGGAGCTTTGTTGACGCATAGAGCAGTGCTATCGCATTTGTGGGTTTCTTCTGTACACTCATTGATGTCAATGCATGTGACGCCGTCGTATGCAAGTCGGTAGCGGACTCCATCATATGCTTCAGGACAACCGCAGCGAAAGTAGGGATATTTGTACTCGTTTTCGCAAATTGATCCGCAGTTGCCAATATCAGAGCAAGCGTCGTAGTCAGGGCAAACTTCCAAATCATATGTACTTGCATCGTTGTCGGGATCGACCGCATCGCTACCATCTTTGCACTTGCACTCCGAGTTTCCAGGTGTTGTCGCGACACAGTCATCGAGATTTTTACATGTGGTAATTACATCAGAAATATACACGCACATGACTGTATCCCAATTACTATACGACGCAGCATCATTTTGAAGGTCCATCAAAGCCCAGTCTCCAGTAGCTGGGTCGATGTAAAAGGCATTTCCATTCGAGAGCTCCTGGAACGCGGCTTGAGCAGCGGTGTTCGATTTTGAGCCCCAGAAATTAACGAATCCGTTGTTTGCATTTCCCGGTTTCAACGGCTTGAGAAGACCTGGAGGGAAGAAGATGCCATTTGTCGTCGTTTTGTAAATGGTTTCGAGTCCAACGATTGCGTAGATTCCAGAAACTGAGCCGGTGTCGATTACTTCGTTAATTCGATCGGACCACCATTGATTTTGTGATTCTATCCACGGGTAGATGAGCTGCTTTCCGTCGATCGAGCAAGCGGCTTGAGCATCCGCAATGGAGAGAATTTGCCCACTGAGTTTTTTGATCGCTGCCCAATTAAACTGCTTGTATGGATGATCATCTGTGGCGAAATCATATGGTCCTGGAAGAATTATTTCTCCGGATAAAACTCGCTCGTATCCAAAATTTGACAAACTCGTGGGTTTCGCATCGAGAGCACAAATTTCCTTGTCGATCCCGGGTAAGATCTCGCTTCCGACTTTGTAATTTCCGGCGAGGAAGGGGATCATTGCGCATTCTTTCCAGTGAAGAGAGATTTCCGAAATTTTTATCGCCGTGTTTCCGAAGACCAGTTTGATTTGATTTGTCACTATTGCTGAGTCTTTTGGTCTGAACTCAAACGTGAAGAAGTCATCTGTCGGAAGAAGCTCTGAAATCAGTACATCTTCGTATACATTCGTCCACGAGTCGATACTGTTATAATACGCTTTGACTGAGTTGTGAGAAAAGCCCTTGAAGTCGACATGCTGATTCATCGGGTGTTCAGAGTCGAAATTCGGAAGATAGACAATCTCGTAATTGAATTTGATGACAATTTTTTCGAAAATGACTCTTCCGAAATCTTCAACCCAGTTTCCATCCTCCACAGTTCCGTCGATGAATCGAAACGTAAGCTCGTATGGTCGGTAGTCTTCTGCACAAGGCTCTTCAAAAGAAAACCAAGTTGAGTCGTCCCCGTCAAACATGTTTTCAACATCAGAAACATCGTAATCTCCAGTTACTTGAAGCTCGACATCGATGTTTGTTGACGGATTCATCAGAAGATCTTGAGACGCGTTGTATCTGAACCAGTCGCTGGCAAGGACAGGAGGAGTGTAAGTTCCAGCAGGATCGACGTGTGGTCCGTTTCCGGTCCAAATTATGTCTTTGTAGAGATTTACTCGTTCGTATTCGCAGATGTCATCAGGTTCATCAATTTCTCCGATGAATCGAATCGTCGTGCACTGAGTCTCTGAATATTGACCAGGAAAGACCGATTCGCATTGACCGCACAAGGAATGTTCTGATGTCAATTGTTCTTGAGTTGGAGTCCATTCGCAGATAAAGACGCCATTATCTTCGTCAGTGCAGGTCATTCCACTTGGAATCGGTGAAAAAGTTGCGCCACTTAGACGAGCATATTGCCGACCGTCGTAAGTGGTGACGCCTCGCCAAGGTATTTTAACTGGCGGCACTTTGACTGCATCTTGATCAGTGTTCAACTCGACTTCTACGATGCTGCCGCTCTCTGGCGACGGAAATATCCATTCAGCACCACCAAGGCATTTCGCACCTAACGCTGAGCAACCTTCATTCGGTTTGACCATGTAGTAAAATGTTCCAGAAACCGCGCTTCCGTAGGGAATAATTTCACAGACTTTCGAATCAAAATCGTAGAGCACATGACCTTCTGTCTTCGAATTACTCACAGAAGCGCAAGGATTCAGTGGAAACTTTCCCTTTGTTTTCAAGATATTTCCGTTCGATGATACAATTTCACCTTTCGAAGTCCCTCTGTTATTCAGAAGTACTTTCTTGCCAGTCCCGTCATATGCATCAAGAAATTCTTTATCTTCTTTTGAGGTTACTTCAAAGAGAGTTTTTCCCGCTTCAATCGATGTTTTGATGAGATCAATTGAGCTTGTAGAGGCCAGCGCGGCGTCACAATCAGCGACAGTGGATGCTGAGCCAGGAAGACATTTTAAATCACCAGTGAATGTTGGTTTTGAGCAGATGAATTTTTTCATTACTGATGAGCAGTCATTGTCGTAGTTACAACTATCGGCCTGTCCTGAAGGTGGACTATTTTCGTAGGAAATTGAAACGCATCGTTGATTATTTATATCTGTGGTTGGAACAGTCGCTGGACCATTTACGGACGAATCACAGTGACCATCTAAGACAGCAAAATCAGTGATTGGGTCTGTTGCATAGGGGTCAAAAAATGTTGGTGATGTTCCGTCTCCATACACCTTTTGACGCACCCAAAGATCTTCTCCAAAGCTTTCGAAAATCATCAACTCATCGAGTGTACTTGGGCCGGCGAGCTCCATATCAGCATTTTGACAATCAGCCGCTGCGACATCATATGTGGCCGCGTACGTCGAAATGACACATGGCGAAGGAAGAAGACTGGGGCAGTCCAGCAGTGGATGATCACAGATGAACTTTTTGTTTAGCGACTCGTGCTGATCTGGTTTACAAACAAAATTAGTTCCATCTCCTTGAAAAGAGACGTAGACCTTTTCCGGATTGTCAGATTCAGCTGGAATACCATTACCAATGTCGATACAGTTTAAATCAGGCGAGACGTCTTCGGGGGACTCATAGCCTTGGATCGTTGTTGGGCCCTTGGCAATGGCGCTAATCCAAATTTCGTCGGTGAATTTTTTAGCGAAATCAATTTCTTCAGTTGTTCGTGGCAGGAAAAGTGAACCGCCGTTGTTTTTACAATGTAGATAGGCTTCATTAAGACCCATCGATGCTGTCGATGGAGCACAAAGCCCGTCAAAATTCGGCTCAGCGAGGAGTGAATCGTCTGGTGCGCCTTCTCCGATTTCCGCAACAAGCAGGACCGGCATTGAAGATTTGATTTGTGTCGGCACGCCTGGAGTCTGCCACCAGTTCATGAGTTGAGTATAATCAAGGCCTGCGGGGAAATCTTCAACTTGAATAGCAATTGGTTTTTGCTTTTTGCCTCTTGGTTTAGTCATATCATCCTCGACATCAAGATCCGGATCGTATTTCAAAACACACGGCCCTTTTGTATAATCAAAGGTAAACCTGTTGACTCTGTTGTCATCTGCTTCGAAAACAAACGCTTCACGAGCATAGCCACCGGCTTCTTCAAGTGTTGAAAACCGGCAACCAATTCCATCACCGTCACCATCGGTTGGTTGTAGATCGAAGTAGCTTGGCCCACAACCACCTTTTATGTTCCAGTTGCAGGGAGCGTTGAAAGTTGGCGGGTTGTTGTCGATCTCGATGATGTGCGCTGAGTATTGCCAGGCAAGATTGTCCCAAGCACCTTGGTTGCCAATTTGATCCATTTTGACGCTTGTATGACCATGTGTACAATGACCGGTGGTGTAGGTGAAACTTTTTGAGTTCTTGCCCCAGCCGAGATTCGGTGAACAAAGATATTTGTACGATTCTGAACCGGTCGTCGAATATTGACAGCTTGGATTTTGAGATCCATCAACGTAAAAGTAGAAATCAGTGGAAATGGGCGGATGACTGTCCATGCATCTGCTGATGAAGACAGCATTAGATGAGTCGTAAGTAGCTCCCGTACTTTGTCGAATCCAAATTGGCTCTTCAAATTGCTCGAGATAATTGAAATCCGATTCTGTCAGTGGTTCGAAAATGTCACCGTGCTCACATCCAGCAGTTGCCGTTGTTCTGTCAACACCAGCAGCAGGTAGATCCCAAACGTCCGTGAAGATATTTCGATCCATTGGGAACTCATAACTTCCTGCTCCGAAATCTCTATGTACTGGATGTTTACCAAGGCTCATTTCCATGGCCCTAAAAAGCAGTGGCTCAACATGTCCCGGTGGATTTTTGAGCTCTTGAGTAGTACTACCGGCGTCACAATCTGATGGTCTGTATCCCCTTTTTTGTTCGTTTTTGTAAGCGTCCATCGTATTGAACCCCCAAAGCGGCATAAAATACTCTCCAGCGCCTTGTGGCCAAACAAGTTCCCCAGTAGCAAATGTTGGTAGCAGTCTCTGAGCTGAGTTTTCTTTTAACCAAACGGTTTCGCCGCCTATGACGCATGTATCGCCTTTTTCTTTTGGATTAAATGCTTTTGATAGTTTGTTAACGCAGAGACTTCTTGTTAGAAGAAATTCCGGTGCAGCAGCGAAATCAGCGATTCCAGGTTTCTTTTTAAATTGAAGACTCACACTTCTAAAAAACTTCATATTCGAGCCTGGGGTAGGTTTGAGGTCCCCATTGCATTCTCGTTTTTCCATTCTTTGCGGAGCGGTGTACCGTGCGAAAATATTCCGGGCAAAGGTCGTATTAGTTCCAGCGACTTTATACTGCGTTACTGCACTGAAATCAGGAGCAGGTTTCGAAGCAATTACATCATTTATCGGCCCATCGGTTGACACAGTGCCGAGATTGTTAACAGCGCAGGTTGTTCGGGTGTTATCATCGTCTGCGCAGATGAAGTGGTGTTCTTCGGAGCAATCGACGTTTTCGCTACAACCACCGTCTTCTCGGATGACGATGCAAGAATTTGGAGTCATTGTGAACCAATCATCAATGGCCGTCGTAGAACACTTGGCTCCACTTTCGAAATCAGCTGTTACCGCTCCATTTGGATCAACGGCGGAGTCATAAACGTACCCGCTACCGTCGCCGTTCGCTCTGACTCCGAGGTAATATTCGCTCGAAATTGACCCCATAAAGGCGATATCATCGGCTGTTCTAGGCATGAAGAGTCGGAGACCAAATTGATTGCAATGGGATTGAGCATCTGCGTAATTTTTCTTGATTGGACAGACAGTGAAAGTTTCCTCTCCAATTACCTCGTCGGTACAATTAATAGAGTCTGCTTGCAAAGAGAGCTCACAGTGAAAAGCTGGCTCGTCTGTTGGTGTAGTCGTCACTGAAGTGTCACAGCAACCCGATCCGTCCGTGTAGCATGTTGCACTTTGACAGACATAGCCATAACTGCTACTTGACGAGAGAGCGCATGTTGTTTTCGATACAACAATAGATTTTTCAGATGCGCCAGTTCCTAGGCTTTGGCATTGTGCAAATTTAGTATCAAGAGCCCAAGTAGACGTGACAAGGGGATGAGTCGCGCCAAAAGTATTCAGGGAGGCTGTTGATTTAACTTGCAAATCTGATCCTTTCAAATATACATCCGTATGGATCTCTTGCCCCGAAACTTCTACCCAATCGAAATCGGTCTCTTGCGCTGGAGTCCAAAGTACTCCCCCTAGAGTGTCAGTACAGTAGGTAAGCGCACTATCAAAAGTAGCAGCTGCTTGCAATTTACAAAAATTTTCATTGCACTTTATCGAATGCGGTAGTAAAAGTAGTATTGAGGATATTATTTTTATTTTCTCTCTCATCTCTCAAGGAAATATGAAAATAATTAGGTGCGAGGTCCGTATTTATGAGCAGTCAAATCGAGAATCGGGGTTCCGCTAAGATAAGAGCGCTCGTCAATGATGTTCAAGATAAAAATGGAGGCTGTTTGGAACAAACGTAAACAAAAACAACAACGTTATCAGAGCTCGAGCTCTACACGATTCTATCGGATCTTTTTCCGTACAAATCCAATAACGAGAATTGATAAATTCAGCAGAATCAAATTATCTAGCAACTTGATTGGAACACCGTGACGTTGACTTATTCTCAATACAAGATATTCCCCTGCAAAACATTTATTTGACCAAAAACATTTCAGGAAAATCAGTCAATTTGTGGCTCGGGAGAAGCGCTTCGAGAGATTTCTTCGGTGATTTCAGGATTTTCGGTGATTTCAGATTCGTCTTCGGTTTCTGATTCATCTTCGATTTTTTCACTTTCTTCAAAAATGAATGTATCAAAATCAACAAGTTTCATTTACCTTTCATCTCATCTTTGATAGTAAATCGGACTTCAAGCTCGACTTGTTTTCCATCAATCGATCGAGCTAGAGCAAAGTGCTTGTCAATCGGCTGGAGGACCTTTTCAGCGATCTCGTATTTCTCCACGTAGTCTCGGAGGTACTGAGCGATGATTGTCAGGAAGGCAACAGCTTGAAGGAAGAGGGCATTGAGTTGTTCTTTGCGCAACTTTTAAATGTTCTAGGCAAAAATTGACAGAAACAGCATTTATTTTTTTTTTTCGTAAAAGAAAATTATCTCTAGAACGATTCCTGAAGATTCTTCAAATCGGCAACTTTTCCCTGAGAATAGCTCAATACGTTTTCAACAACTTGAATCATGATGATTTCAAAAAGTGATTTTTCAAATACCGCTGTTTTGCGAATTTTCTCAATTATAAGCATTCCGTTGCATAATTATCAACGTCAAACATGACGAAAGCGTGAGTCCTCCGGATCAAAGTTCGTGAGATTTTACTGTTTTCTGGTCAAAAATCACGAATGCACGCATTCTGTGCAAATAAAAAATGAAATGCGATGTTTTCATTTCGAAAAAAAAACTGGGTCGGATGAGCTTTGACGAGTTCAGTTATTCAAGTTCAATTTTTCACGAATTTTTCGAGCAAAATTATTGCATAATTTCAATCTGTGTTCAATTAGGCTTTCGTTTTCTCCTCAGAAATTGTGAAATATTCAACGTCACGGTGTTCCAATCAAGTTGTCAGAGAATATCTTTCAGCTAATCATGATAAATATATGTTATTGGATTTGTGCGAATGGAGATCCGGAGCATCGCGGAGAGTCGGAGTTCTGATAACACGTTTATTGTTTTTGTTTACGCTTGTTCCAGACAGGCTTTCTTGGTTCCTCAATTTTATTCCGATTAACTCTTTTCGCTATCTTAAAAAAAATTGAGAAACCTGCGCTACAATCGGGCCCCTTAACCCATTAACGGGCGCGTGGCCGTCTACCGGCCAGGCGTGAAAATGAGTAGCCAATCGCATGCCCGGATCCATGATTTCACTCAATCACAGACAGGCAAAAGTGTAGGCGAAATTAACTAGCTTTTTGACGGGTTCACCGATATAAGAGTTCAAATAATTTTCTCCTACCTATAGAAGACCAAACATGTATAAAATGATTTATATCTCCATATGCTTCCACGGCTGATCGCACCCCGTCACGAATATTTTCCACTTCAACGGCTCATAATTACCCTTCCACTTCCCATATAACTAAGCCTCCTTTCTGGAATCGTCAGTTCCAAATTTTCTCAAAATTTGCAACTCACCTTTTTTCATAAATTTTGGCTTCATATTTTTTCAAAATAAAAAATCGGTTGCTTCTTTTCGTCTCTTTTCAGGACGAAAATAACTAGCTTGTTTTTTTATTTTCAATTTTTTCGATATTTTAGTATTTTTGAACAAACCACGTGAGCTTTATTTTAGAAGCGAGAGATGAGAATGTTTGCGAGAACATTTTTCAAAATCCAGAATTCTTGCCTGTTTTGCAAAATGGAGGTGGCTACTGGCAGGTTTGGCTGACGGATCAATGGGTCAACATCAGCATGGATCAACCATTTGACAGTAAGTTTCTTTATTGCCCTGAGTAAAGCCATGAGTAAAAACCTGAGTAAAAACCTGTGTAAGAACCTTAGTAAAAACCTGAGTAAAAACCTGAATAAAAACCTGAAGAACAGGTTTTAAAAGAGAAGCGACTCTGTCTGTAGAAAAAGGAGCTTCAAAGCTTTTCAGAGCCTGAGTCAGGTTTTTGCCCAGTTTTCTGAGACCAGCTTCGAAGGTCTTAACCTTTTTGTTCAGGAAGATGGACGAACAAAGACAATCAAATTTTCGACAACACTTTGATCCGCAAAGTATGCGATTGCTCCTTCAACACTTCTTTTGGCTTTTTATACAACGAGAAGAAGTTCAAATGGGCCAAGGTTTCGAAGCTTGCTCAGATGGGACTTTCGATGAAATCCGAGGTAAGAAACCCCTTCGCTTTCTGGCCCTTTCATTTTTTAGAGTGAAACGGCAATCTATCTCCGCTGCAAGCACGGTGGAAGTAAAAAGGGCCCCGTTCCGATGCGAGTTTGCAAGGACGCGCGAAAAATCACAAGGGTAAATAAAAAGGAGACATTGCAGATATCCAGCCCAAATCCAAGCGACGCAGAATTCTGCACGAAAGAAGAGAAACTGCTTGATCTGGCGAAAATCATGAAGCCGCTCAAGAGTCCCAAAATGGTAAGATGTCAGGAGAAATGCTTTAATAACGAGTTTGTAAAGGGTGTTTTGAAAAAAGCGACAAACGAGCACGCTAAAATCAAGAAACTGTTGATCGGCCCGAAGAAGAAAAAATACTCCGTGAACGATTGCATGGGCGAAATGAAGCATACTGACTCCAACGAGACCCACCCAGTGTATTTGCTCGATAATACGGACCCGATGAGCTGGAATGACAAGATTTTGAAGAAGAAATCTTTGCTCGCCAAATGCAAAGTGCCGAAAAAGAGCCTCAGACCGTTAGTGATTTTTAGCAAAATATCATTTTAAATATTTCAAGTGAATGGTGCTACGACAAGAATTATCCGATCGATGGTCATTTGGCCAAATGCTCCCTAACTGTTGATGATAAGATCCATCTTATCACAAAAGGAAAGGATCGACATTCGAACCCCTCGGCTAGGACAAAGGATTTTGGGTTAAAGAGGGTGGACTGTCGATCCTATTCAGGCGCGGTGAAGAAGACGCTTCGATTTTTGAACAGAATGCACAATCATTTCGCAAAAAATCCCTTTTACTGCTTCTAAAGCCCGTCTTATTCGATAAATAAATTTTAATGTTACTCGTCAAAAATTATTTCTTCATGATTTTATTTTTGTTTATTTCAGTATTTCATCGATGTCAAACAACAAGAGATTTTACTTTTATTTTTTTTCGTGTGTTTAACTTGTTCAAATATATAACATAAGCAAAATATAATGCCATTTTTCCTGTCTTTTCGGCGACTTCAAGATCTACTCATGTAAAGAATTGTTTTTCGAGAGAAAACCCGTGAAAATAAAATAACTTTTGGCACAAAGATTAAATTAATTTGCTTTTTTATGGGCTCATCTGAAAGAGCATCAAAAACTGGTCTAGAAACTACTTTTCTTGTGCGAATTCAATAGAATTTTTTAAATACAAATTTCAATAAAATATATTTTTATTTAAAGCTGTATTTATTTTATGCTATCGCGAGAAATTAAGGGCTAAAACAAACAGTTCACTAAGTTTCAAAAGGAATAAATTCATACTGGTGCCTTTTCTCCTAGCGGCGGTGTAGGCCACCCACTCCCTCCGAAGTTCGGAGTCCGAACAGAAATAAAAATAGAGCGCCAAATTAGCTGAGCCAGCGCTAATTTTCATTCACTAAAATCTGAAACAAGACAAAGAGAAAACTCAAAATGGGAAAAGAAGGGCTTCAAGTAATCAATGCGGGCTTTTCAAAAACTGGGACGAAGACTATGAATGTCATTCTTACTGTAAGTACCGTTAAGTTACTAGGTTTCCTTATAATAAAGCTAAGGAACTCGGTTATAAAGTCTGCGACGCTCCTGAAGCTGTGTACCGTCACTGGCAAGATTGGGAGAAAATCGCCAATGGCGAAAAACCAAACGAGGTTATCCAAAAACTCTTTGGCCCTGGAAATCCGGACGAATACACGGCTTGTGTTGATCTTCCCCACAATGCTTACTGGGAACTCATTTTGAAGCAATTCCCAGATGCTAAAGGTAATCGAGAAAAAATGCACTTGAAGGAAATTTTATTCTTAGTGATTCTTGTTCTTCGGGATGAAGATAAATGGGCGACATCAGTAGCCAAACATCTTCAGGTAAAATAAAATCACAGCAAAAGCTCTTCATCTTTGATCATTTAGGTGGAACGGGATACCTTCCGAGAAATGGGCTGGTGGCGACTCAACAATGGAATCTACCGCTGGGTCTTCAACCATGCTGCTCAGGCGATGGGTCTTTACATGGACTGGATTCGCCCACTTCTTCTTGGCCCAGAGTCTCGCAACTTTCACGGAGATAACATGGACGTCCTCCGCCTCAAATACAGGTAAGTCTTAATTTCATAGCGGCCGGTCATATTTGTGGTCGATCGATCAAAATTATCATGTCACTTTTTCTTCCGAACCAAAAGTAGCTCCAAGGCAGAATTTTTACTATGCTCTAGAATGCACAACCAGTATGTGATGAACAACTGCCCCAAGGATAAGCTACTTGTTTGGAGGATTGAAGAAGGCTGGGAGCCGATCTGCAAGTTCTTGGGTAAACCAGTTCCTGATGGACCTCTGCCTCACAAAAACCGACTTGGAGGGGTTATTCAGGAGCTGGCGGAATCCGTCGACTACCAGGTTTACTCATTTCTAAGAGGAAAACCATAAAACTTTTTCTAAGGCGATGGTTCGTAAGCAAACAATTTCACTGGTTCTCCGAATGGGAATCATCGCTGGCGTCTCCTACGGCTGGTACAAGGGACTCATTCAGCCACATCTTCAAGTAGAAGAATCAGCGCCAATCAACTGGAAAATGATCGGTGCTGCGATCGCATTTTTGTTCACTATGAGAAACCTCTAGAAAATCAATTGAATATTTCCAATAATGGTACTTGCAATAGAAAAAATAAAAAAAAAACGAATTCTGCGAATCTTTTTCATTGTAATGTTCAAAATGAGAACGTTTATCTACAACCCTAGCGGCGATATGGACCACCCACCTCCTCTTTTTAACTTCTCAATGCACGTGGTCCAATCATTGGACCACGGCGACTTTGAACCCGTGTAATTCCCGTTGTTGTTATCTGTTTGACCTGAATTTTGTAATGTGAGCTGACAAGACAAAAACGAACCACTCTGTGAAGTTTCGAATGAAAACTTAAAAGTGGTGGCGTTTTGCGCCAGATTTCTCTTTCGTTCTCTGGTGAAAAATCGGAACGGATTTTTCGATTTACAATTGTTTATTTTTATAGAAGAGGGTTCAAGCTTTCCAGCAATATATTCACGAGCTTTTTTACCCGACGGAAACGTCAATTAGAGCCAAAAGTCCTGAGCGCTGTTTTTCACACTCTGAATTTGGCGCGCCGCGCGGGGCTGGATAATGCATTGTGGTCCAATAATTGGACCCCGTGTTTTGAGCGCTTAGTCGCGCGCCCGTGTATTGAGAAGTTAATCGTTTTTCCGAAGTTTATAGACTGAGATAAAGAAACTGGCTCGAAAGAGAAATTGATAATGGGAAAAGAAGGACTTCAAGTTATAAATGCTGGTTATTCAAAAACTGGGACGAAGACCATGAATGTTATACTCACGGTAAGAAATGATATCAGCTACCTTATGATCATTTTGTTTTAAAGAAACTTGGTTATAAAGTCTGTGACGCTCCGGAAGCAATTTACAGGCACTGGCAAGAGTGGGAGAAAATTGCCAACGGCGAAAAACCAAATGAAGTGCTTCAAAAATTATTTGGTCCGGGAAATCCAGATGAGTACACGGCTTGTGTTGATTTGCCCCACAATGCATACTGGGAATTGCTTTTGAAGCAGTTTCCCGATGCTAAAGGTAAGGCAAGAATAAATGCCAAAAGGAAGATTCGTTTTTTCAGTCATTCTCGTACTGAGGGATGAAAACAAATGGGCGACATCTCTTACCAAGCATTTGAAGGCAAGAATAATTACGAGCTATATTTTTATAAAGCTAAGGTTGAACGAGAAACGTTCCGGGAAATGGCCTGGTGGCGCCTTCACGGTACCATCTATCGCTGGGTTTTCAACCATTCTTCTCGAGCGATGGGTTTGTACATGGATTGGATGCGACCGCTTTGTGGTGGCGGTGAAGCAAGAAATTTTTATGGCGAGAATATGGATGTTCATAGACTCAAATACAGGTGAGTCTTCCTTTCATCTTTTTCTTGAGGAAATTTTTCCAAGAATGCACAATCAGTATGTGATGAATAACTGCCCAAAGGAAAAGCTGCTTATTTGGAGAATCGAAGAAGGATGGGAGCCGATTTGCAAGTTCTTGGGCAAACCAGTTCCAGAAGGTCCCTTGCCCCACGAGAACCGACTTGGTGGTGTTATTCAAGAGCTAGCAAATTCTGTCGATTATCAGGTACGAGCTCATCGCGATCAAAAAAAGCTCACGATTTTCAGGCAATGGTCCGTAAGCAGACGATATCTCTTGTCCTCCGAATGGGAATCATCGCTGGAGTCTCCTACGGCTGGTTCAAGAATCTCATCCAACCTCATCTTCAAGTAGAAGAATCGACTCCTTTCAACTGGAAAATGCTCGGCGCTGCGATCGCCTTTTTGGTCACTATGAGAAAACTTTAGAAAATAAACATGTCTTTGATAATTTATTTTAATTCTGGATCTTTTGGAAGAATTCTGACTTTGAGCGGCTCCATCATGTGTTTTGTTTCCTTTTTGAAATTGACGGATTGAAGACAATAGAGGACTCCTGCGAGAAGGGAGAAAATGAGGACTAGAAAAAATGATGAAAAACAAGCTCTTAGGAGTAATATTTACATGATGGTAGCATGTAGTAGAGAAACGTCTCTATTCCAGCGCCAGTCTCATTCGTTTGAACCTTCTGAACGTCTCCAGAAGCCGCTTTTTCACTAAAAAACGAGCTAGAAAAAGCACATTCGAGAGTTTTTTTACCAGCCACAGGTCCACTGATTGTCTCCATCAGAAAAACGAACATTCATTTTTTCAACGCCTCTGATCCCGGCGAAATTATAAATGCAAAACTGTGCATCTCGAAAATGCTGAAATCCTCTTTGCTGCACGCCGAAAACAGTGAATAATTCATTTCGCCAATAATTGATCAGATGGTAAACCCCTGATGAGCCTAATTTACGCGTGCGTAGCATTTTGTTAGTCGGTTAACCAGACTGCTTTCTACAGTGTAGATTTAGCAAAATCTTCTGCCAAAACTTTTTCAAAAAGTCGCTATTGAACTCGCCTGAGACAAGTTGTGCCTTTCAGGACACGATAATTGTAACTTGAAATCTTTGAGTTGTTTATTGAGAAAAAGAGAACACCGATAAATGCACAGAGGGCTGACTTGAATAAATAATTGTATCTCTTATAATAGGTTAACTCTTGGAATAATAAAAGTTAGTATACGTTCAATGTCAAAGAAAGTTGTTTCGATTCAAATGCTTTCTGCTCTTTTTTTCAAAAAACTAAAAGAAGAAAAATAAAAAAATATTGAATCTATATTTTTTTAAAGAGCAAATTTTCGGAAAGAATTTTTCAATAATCATGTTTTTTATTGCAATTTAAGAATTATGATTAGAAGAACATGAATACATTCTAGTTAACATCCAATCGCTGAGGACAGTCAAGTGCTTTGAGAAGTCTGTTGAAAACTTTCTTCGATCTCCGGAAATCGTCAGCGATTTTCTCGTTTCGTCGTTTCGCTCTTCTGTTTTCCTTGAGATGAATTCGATCGAGGCAAACCTTGTGGTCGTAAAACTCCATGGCCGAGTCCATAAGCGAGATGAAGCTACCACAGATGTCGGCTCCGATTTCTGGGATGGTCCATTTTTTTGTGCCAAACGGAGCATTTGTTGAATTCTCACAGGAATCGAATGTGTGCTCGTAGAACCAAGAAAACCGTTCGGCGACTCGGCGGAATTGCTTCATCTTCTGCTCTGGTTTACGTGTAATTGCTTCGGCCATTGTATTGTCTAGAATATCCCTGAGCTTGGTAAATGAATCGATCATTTGAATGCTCGGTGTATCGTCAATAGTAGGGCTGCAGACACTATCATCCTGTACTTTAAAAGATCTATTAAAATCATAATCGTGAAGCTGCAGTACCTGATGTAACAGAAAGATGGAATCCGCGGTGATTTATCATAGTCTATGATTCATAGAATCACTGATGAAAGTAATACTTATCGAGTTTCCAGGAATAAAGACTGGTTCTCCGGGCACAAGATCTTCGAATTCCGCCCAAGACTCGGGCTCGCCCCAGTAGTCGTTGTCAAGGTTTTTGAATCGATTGCAGAAAGTCGAGTTGTAAGTCGAATCTCCATTCGTTATCGTCAATGAGTCCCAATCGCAACGATGGTGCTCTTGAAAGTTTGATTATTCAAGAAAAATATGGCAGTGATCTACCTTCAATGTCGAAGTAAGTTGTATCGATTCGAAAGCTCTCGGCGCATTTATCTTGAATATTCCATTCGCAGAAAGTGTTGGATGGATAGAAAATAGAGGAATCGTCAGACATGGTATGATTAACTGGCGAGAAAATCTCCACACTATTCATATCCATGCTTAACTCAGTGAGTCCTCCACAATCGGAAAACTCGCTGCGATTACTTTCATCCCTCCTTGCGTTTGCCGCTGCGATGGTAAAAAATTGAAATATTTTCATTTTTTTTCTGAATATTTTGCTTTTCCCTACTCTCTTTATGTGTTGCGCACGGAGGCGCTAGAGAGTGTTAATGAGCGCTCAAGAAGTCCTCGTCATGTAAAAAAATACTCGTGGAGGAATCCTCTTATCGTAAACACAACACTTCGACCTGGGAAAGGTTTTAGAACTTGTCGAAGACGACGTTGGTTAGAATGTTCATCAAAAAATTGCTGGCCACAAGGCCAAGTGTAAAAACAGACACGCATTTCCCGCTATGATAAGCTTTCAAGTTGAAGCTGGAAAATCAAAATAACCTGATCGTACTTGAATAATAACTGCTTTTAATGTAAACAAAAAGACACGACGCTTCAATTTAAAAGTCCGTAAACTGAATCATGCGAAAAAGAAAATATCTTTCGATTTAGTCAGATACTTTTTTCACAATCAAAGAAATCAAAATATGCGCATCTTTACTTATGAAGTGGGCAAACACAAAATGCACTAAACCGCAATGTGGGAAGGTTCAACCTTTTTTGGCATCCATCCTCGCTCTCCTTTCCTTCATAAAAATCATGGGCCACTCAGAAGCCGCCGAGCTTTTTCACCAATTTCTCCATCGGCTCGCGAGTTCTAGAGACACTCCTGGAATTTATGAAAAAGGGTTGAGATGGGTCGATGACTTTTTAGAGAAGAATTTTTCTGCCACCTTCTGGGGTTACTTTTTCAGAGAGCTCAATTTTTGTCAGAATTTAAAATGCGTCGATGGACTGTTTTCAGGATTGTCTGCGGAAAAATTTGGGAGGAAATTCGAAGATATTTTTCAACAAGGTAAATTTATGAAATAAGGGTGTCGCTGTCCTTAGGCAAGCTTTCTTCTGACCCTTGTTTAACTGTATATTTTAGGGTTGCTAGAAGATGCGTCATATTTTCTGACAAAAACGAAGCAAAGAAAAATCCTAACGAAGCTTTTTCATTCTACCTGTTTATTCAATATTTCACGAAAATATTTTCCTTTCTTGTCAAAACGAGAGCCTCCGTCTTTGGGCGAACTTTTGCGATGGAAGATAAGAAAGGATCTTCTGATAAATGAACAAATTATTTTTGCGATTGATGTTCCTTTACATATTCTTCAGATTTTAAAATATGATCTTCCTGTTTGATACGAATAAAAACTTTTAACAATAAAATTTTTCATTCGAGAAAAAATGGTGAATTCATCGCATATCTTGTCGGAACGACTCGTGGATTAAGAAAAGTGGACAGACCTTGTTTCCTTCCTCTTCGGGAGTCCTAAATCTCCAGATTTTTTCCGCAAAGCCACGAACTAAGACTATCCTTATAAAAAGAGCCTGCTCTTGTTATGAACCTTCGAACTCTTGAAAATGAAAATATTTCGATTTTTAAACATCGCTGCAGCAAACGCGAGAAGAGATGAAAGTGGTCGCAACGAATTTTTCGATTGTGGAGGATTAACGGAGTTCAACGACGAAATCAAAAGTGTTGAGATTTTCTCACCTATTGATTTTGCCGCGTCAAACGATTCCTCGAAATTCTATCCATACAATGCTTTTTGCGAATGGGACTTCCACGATGACTGCGCAGATAGCTTCCGAATCGATACAACGTACTTCGACATTGAAGGTAGATCACCGCCATATTTTTCTCGAATAATCAAACTTTCCCCCAAGGAAACCCTCGTTGCGTTTGGGACTCATTGACGATTACGAATGGAGATTCAACTTACAACTCGACTTTCTGCAATCGATTCAACAACGTTGACGACTATTTTTCCGACGACTACTGGGGCGAGCCCGAGTCTTGGGCGGAATTCGAAGATCTTGTGCCCGGTGAACCAGTCTTCATTCCCGGCAACTCGATGAGCATTACTTTCATCAGTGATGGTGTCATTAATCACAGTGGCTTCCAACTTTCCATTTCACCAGGTAATAATTGACAGCTTTACCATTCTCTTTTTCATTCATCATCTTAAAGTCCGTGACGATCAGACCTGCAGCTTCACTGAAAACAAACCGGTGTGCGTTTGGCCATACAAAGAGCACAACACCGTTTTCATGAAGGCTTGGAACATTGGATCGCAAGACAAACTGACCCCCTTCTCCAACTATGCGGATTCTTTCAACGATGATGACAACGTAGGTATTCTCAGTTTTAGAAAGCAATGCGCTGGAAGATGTCGCGATACTCCTGGTTGCTTCAAATTCATGCTTGATGGAGCTTCTACCTGCTTGCTTCGAGGGAACGAATTGGAAAATCGCAATCATGATAGTTACGGTAGGATTGACAATTTTAAAAACTATCGTTTTTACCTTACGATTTAGCAATTAACGGAGAAGACTGCCCATCAGAGCCATCGACTCGCCTTTGGAAGGATTTCAAAACAAGAGCAGTAGTCTTTTGCAAGTTTTATGACGTCTCAGATGCAATTTGGTATTTGAATAATCGCCTGCTCAAGTATAATCCCCAAGCATTAAAATGGGTAAGACCGTTTTCCATAATTGATTTTACTTTCATTATAGCCTATAATTTATAGGCTGTTACAGATGAAAAGGGAGCAACTTTGAAACGAAGAATGTCTCGAAAATGGACGTTTGCGATCGCAGATGATAAAAACAGCGGCGATGGAGTTTGGTACTCCTTCGAGTCAACTGCATTCATCCGCGAGTACCTCGTCCCTGTCAATGAAACGTCCGCCACCACGACATCTACGGGCACTTTTGGTAGAAGAAAACGAGAGACGAACGACTCAGATGTCCTCGTCGACATGACCGGCCAAATAATCCAGGATTTCATCGAGAATCTCGATATCGGAGACGCTCAAGTCGTCGAAACAGAAATCTCCGATATCGAAGTTGAGAGCTTGGATCCAATCGACGATACACCGAGCAATCACATGATCTACTCATACACCAAACTGAGGGATTTTCTTGAAGTAACCATGGCCGAAGCAAGCACAAGAAGACCAGGGCAGAAGATGAAGCAATTCCGCCGAGTCACCGAACGGTTCTCTTGGTTCTACGAGCACACGTTCGATTCCTGTGAAAATCCAACAACTGCTCCGTTTGGCACAGAAAAATGGACCATCCCAGAAGTCGGAACCGACATCTGTGATAGCTTCGTGTCGCTTATGGACTCGACCATGGAATATTACGACCACAAAGTTTGCCTCGATCGAATTGATCTCAAGGAAAACAGAAGAGCATACCGAAGAAATGGGAAAATCGTCGATGATGTCCGAAGATCGAAGAAAGTTTTCAACAGACTTCTCAAAGCACTTGACTGTCCTCAGCGATTGGATGTTAACTAATATGTTCTCCCTTACCGTTCATGTATACCCTTAAGTCATCCTTCTTATATTTTAATATACAAAAATGACTCTCGAACAAAAAGTACTCGTTGAAGTTTTTGAAGGTTATAATGACTCATTTCAGAAAAAAAAGCTTTGAGAAATAAGTCTTTTAACAAAAGGCTCTCGTACTTCAAATTGGCTCCGAAAACTTGCCCTTTTGAAATGATGTCTCCCTTTCTCAATGAAGCGCGAAACAAAGATCTGAAGAGCGGATTTATATTTTTGTTTTTCTTCTTTCTTCATTTTATTTTCGGGAAAAAAAGAGCAGGAGTGATATTGACCGAGAGGATTTGATGATTCGTAAAATGGAGGAGAAAGGCGCAATTATGGCAATCGGCGCGGACTGAGAGATCAAATGGACTCCCAGCACTCATAAATGTGTTGTCTTTGAGCTCGTCGTTAAAAAGATAAGACGCGTGTTTTCTTGCCATACCAGCCTTGTATATCAAAAAAAGCCAGAGATCAGTCATCAGAAGAGATTTTTTCCCTAGAAGATAGAAAAAAATGTGAAGATGCTTGCTCTAGAATTCGTGCTATTTTACCTCGGCTCAGGTATTCTTTCTAGCCGATTTTGATAAATTCAGGATCGTTTTATTTTGATCAGGGCTCTAAACAGACTAGTCCGGGCTCGGACTAAGTCCGAAGTTCGTCAAGTCTTGTCCGGCCGGACGGACCAGACTTCTGATTTTTTGGCTGAGAAAATTTTTGGACTAAACCAGACCAGACTTGGCTCTGTCCCCGGACTTAGTCCGAAAAGTCCGAAAAAGCTGGACTACTTCCAGACTTATGTGACATAAGTTATGTCTTAGTCCGAAAAGACTGAGATGTCCAAAAAGTCCGAGAAGACTGGACCACTTCCAGACTACTTACAGACTTATTTTCTGACCACTAGAATCCGAAAAAGTCCGAAAAGTCTTCATTTTTCTAAGAAATACGAATATATTTCGAACAAAATACGTAAGTTTTACTTGATTCAGTTCAAAAAATTTTAGAAAGAATTTCAAATTATCGATGTGTACTTACTGATGAGTTAGTTTCGATTTTTCGCCTCAGATTTAGAGCCCTGATTTTGATTTTAAAAAAATTTTGGTCCATCTCTTTCAAAATATAGTAGATATTGATGGTTATTTAGTACTTGATTCAAATTTTCTATGTGAATCGAATATAAAAAGATTCAGAGTTGTTGAAATTTATGGTGTTTAGCTTTTGCCGAAAAACCGAAACGTACAACTTTCCAAAAGGCGTCTTTCCTTTCGAAGATTACCGAGCTGGTCGAATCAGTCTTCACGAGCTTGGCTTTCCGTCGGAAAAATATGTAATCTCAAAGCCGCCAGTCGAGATCAAAGTCAAAGCAATAGGAGATGATCAGACGGAGAGCGGCGTTTTTATGCGACAAGAGCTGCCAAACCATTTTGACGAGCTCATCGCCTCAATTGGCGAAGAAGACGAAGACGAACTGACGATCATACAATTTGACGAAGAAGTCGAGGAGGGGACGAAAGTCGTCGTCACGCTCAATTTCATCGATGGGAAAGAAGACGAAGCAAAGGTGTTTTAAGATACAGACAAAACGGACAATTCCGGAACGGACAATTCCGGAGATTTGAGGGAAATTGGTAAAATTTTGTAAGCGCACAATTCCGAAAATTTCAAACAAAAAATTCAACTGAGAGGTCTATTTTCTATGTTGGACCACCTTTTTGCGAAAAAAAACGAATAATTTTCAGAAAAGTAATCAGAGAAAAGCCAAAAAAGCCATCGGCAGCACTTAAAAAAGCCTATTTTCAGGTTGACACCCTTCAAAAATTTTTCAAGTAGAATTCGGACAATTCCGGAGATTTGGCGCTTTTCCCCATAAAAAAAACTTCCGGAATTTTCCGTTTTGTCTGTAATAAACAAAAACTATTTTTATCATAATTTTCTCAGCAAAACAGCGAATTGGACGTCTACCACATCGACGAAATGGAAATCTCCAGCGAGAGTCCCTTCGACTCGTCGCAAAAGCATTTGAGCTTTACGATCCGTCCAGTTAAAGGTGAAACAAGTTATAAATGTCAGTTAGCTCGAGTGATCTTCATTTTACGATAATCGCTTTCTACTTTTTGAAGAGCTGACTTTGAAGTTCATTTATTATGTCGAAATGCGGTTTGAAGAAGTGTTGGTTCTCGTAAATTAAAAGATTAAAATAGCAACATGAATAATGTCAATTTCTCCGGGTTAAAATAAGGTTCCTATCTCCCTAAAAATGCATTCAGAATCAGCTGAGCCAATTGCGATTCGACTGTCAGAACTTCCAAACGATCCACGAGACTTCAACTTTCTCAAAACCGAAATCATCGAAGAATCTTCCGATGAGAAAATTCTTCTCCGTACTCATTTTGAACTGACTCCAGAATATCTCGTCGATTCGGTTGTTCAATTCTTCGATTTCAAGAAGCTTTTGGTTCCGCTTGAGCAAGTCATGATTGAGGATGTTGATTGCTTTGAGAAGAGTGGGGTTGAAATCGACGAGAACGGCATTGTGTTGGTCGACTATTTTTTCTTCCAGGAGAAAGAAATTTGCGAGAAAACTGAGATGCTCATTCTCAATTTGGCGCAAAAAGAATTTGAGATATTTCTCCCGAAAAACTCGTATGCACCAAAACTGCTTGGCTTCAATTTTACAGCTCTTGAGATCGTCTTTGCCAATGACTACATAAGCCCCGCATTGAACAATCTCGCATATCTTCTGGTGGAAGATAAAGACGGGCTGAGTTCCGGAATCGGTCTCCCCAAATTGATGCCGATTTCAAAGTCATCTGTTTTGGGGTCTTCACTCATTTTTACGCCGATAAAGACGCCTCACGAAAACATTCTTCTCTACGAACTGCGACTATCTTATCCGGAAGATTTATTCTCGATAAAGGACTTGCAATCACATTTAGAAATGATTGGCATCAAATACTTGAAAATCTCCGACCAGCCGATTTACGATTCTTTGAGAAAATCATCGATTTATCCGTTTTCTCTAAGAAAATGCGAAAAAACGACACATAAATTCATCATTTCAGAAGATTTCAAGGACTGCACGGATGCAAAACTGGCTGTCAAAATTCTCAAAGCTCAGCTAGACCCCTGCGATACAGAAGTATTCCTCGATTCTGCATCGAAAACGATCACAATAAGCTCTAAAGACCCACTGGACCGAAAAGTCATCGATAAAACGAAAGAAATCCTCGGATGTCTCGTCAGATCTCCACGAACAGATCTCGAGACCGATATTTCTAGCGCAGGAAGTGCGATGAAAACTGAATATCTTCCGTATGCGATTCCCGGGATCGCCTTGGTTTTCATTTTGTGGATATTGGCGAAGGACTTGCTACAGAAACAGAAGGAGAAAGACTCGTTGGAGAGAATCTTCTTTTTGCTTGAATCGCTGTTCATATTCTTGGATATTTGCTCAACAGGTTTGCTACACATAGTGAACTAGAAGATTTGTTTTTAAATTTTCCAATTGACCTGTAGAAAGTTATGAATGAGCACCATAACGGAATGTTAAAGTTCTAGCCATTTAAATTTAAGTCTCTCGCTTCCTTTCTGATTAATTTATTATAGCTGTTAAATTATCATCAGCTCCTATAAGTCGGATTTTTAAGCTCTCTACGCAAAAATAGAATTGGGTTTATTTTATATTTAGCTGCTGTTCTGTCTATTTACCTTCAAAAACGCGTCATCTCCGACCTCTCAACTACTTTCATTATTCTGATCATCGTCCTCATGCTCGCTTCTCTTGCCCTACTCATCTTCCGAAACCTCAAACCAATGGACCACTTCGGCTGGATCATCCTCGATTCATTGAGCATCAAGGGTCTTCAAATTTTTCTCATCGGCCTCTATTTTGTTCCATTCATTCCAGCAACCTTTGGGTACCCGATCTTTCTGATCATCTTTGCCGTCTTTGGCCTCCTCGGATTTCTTTGGAACATGGTCATGTGGTTCTCGAAATTGACCGAAGAGCGAGAGCGAACAAAAGTATGATTCCAATCAAGAAAGCTTTTTATCAAAAAAAAAAAATATTTAGGAGATGATATTTTTTGGCATTTCGGGAGTACTCGGGCTTACTTCTTGGATTTGCTTTTTGGTCTACATTTTGATGAATTTCGGGCGGACAAATCTTCAATCACAATTCAGGTTAGCACAAATGAAAGCTGTTAACTCGAGTCTTTAGGTGCATTGAAATCAAGGAGGACAACAAAATCCCCACTCCGTTTTCTTGCTTCGAAATCGGTCAATTTTTCTTCATCATTCCTGCCGCTGGAGCTGTGCTCTTTGGACTATTAAACTTATTCCTCTCGCTCAAATCGATATCAGGAAAATTGAAAAACTACAAAACAAAATGTTTTTTCGTAAACTTTCTTCAATTTTCTAAGATCCTGGACAAAGAAGACTTCTAGAAAGCCGCGAAGAAGCGCCCTCAAATCGTGATAACCAGACCCTGAGAAAGTGATAAACACGACTGTATATGTTTTGAAATGTATATTGTACCAGAATTTACAAACAATAAAAAGAGTTGCTGAACTACAGTACATTTTGTGTGTTTTGACGCAGTGCTTATTTTCTGTACAATTGTGTGAGTGTTTTATATGCAGCGAAGAAATTTTAAGTATTTTTGTCAGAATTTGTTAGATTTTTTTCTAAGGGAGAATCCTTTTGGTGATCCTCATTGATGCTGTTGACTTGGAATTTTCAGAAGTTGTCGAGGTTTTGGCGGTTTATGGGTATCCTTGAAGATGAATAGCTAAAAAATGAATAGAGAGGTTAAACGGGATTTGAATTATGTACAGTTTGGCTCGTGTAAATCACTGTAAAATAAATAGATAAAGAATTATCATTTTTGCGACTTATGGTTTCTCAAAAGAAATTCTTCCATAACTTACATTGAGCGACATCACGAGCAATTTGATAACAGTAATTCGAGTCACAGGTTCCTTTCTAAAAATGACCGGTTAAAAAGTTCCCAATGATATATCTTACGTCTCCAGCGCGACCATCTCTTCCATCAGCGCCGTTTCTCCCTGGCGGTCCAGGCGGTCCTGGCGGGCCAACTGGCCCTGGTGGTCCGTATTCTCCATCTAAAGTTGTCGATAAAGAAGTTATTCGAAGACAGAGGTTAGTAGGTAGAGTATACTGGTTTATAAAATCACCGCCAGTGTATCAAAAGAAGATATCACAAGTATTTCTAGAGCAAGTTACAGTGCTGTGATATCTTTTATTCATTTGATACGCGAATAAAACATGATTCAAAGCTATATTTTTTGCACCAAGCTACTTACGTCTTCGAATCCAGGCTATGAAATGAAGGGTTAGACAAAAATTTCAAGGCAAAGATGAAGATCAGATTTTGTTAGATTTTATGGTTGGAAAAATAAGATAAGGCTCTTTACGCTCTAGTTCTCGGATTCTTTACTGATAAAAATCGAATTTCGAATATAAATAAGAATCAATCATTCAATAATCAATATTTTTTCTCTATTTTTTAGAAATGAAAATACCCCATGAAGTATAAAAACCGGAATAATGAAAAACTCTTTATCAAAATGTGCTATTTGAAGAATGATATCTAAAATAAAAAATTTTGAAAATGAGCCTTTTCTTTTTAAATTCAAAATCTGCACAATTCTTACCTTGGAGATCCCTGTCTCCTCTTCTTCCCCTTCCATCTCTTCCATCCCTTCCTGGAGGCCCTTGATCTCCTTTTCTCCCATCTTTTCCCATCGGTCCGATTGGTCCAGGATCACCAGGTCTTCCTTGCAGCCCATCCATTCCCGGTAGACCTGGTTCTCCGGGCGGCCCGGGGGGACCAGGCATGCCAAAGAAAAAGTCTTTCATTTTTGGATTCCACGCGAGCTCGTCATTTCTATCCGCTAATGTATCTCTATTTGATCGCCCAGGCTCATCGGATTGATAAGGATGTCTGCCTCCATTTTCAATCAGCTGATAGGTGATTTCCGGAATTGCTCGTTTCAGGACTCGGTGAATGATTTCATCCATTTTTGAGTTGACCATTTCCTTCACTTTCACCTAACAAGAAAAGTTTATTCCGGCGCTTAAGATTAAGGGTATCGTACCATAAGCTCACGTTCAAGAGAAATATCAACCAAATCCTGGATTTGCCGCTCAATGTCGACTCTTAAAAAATCGTTTAGCCAAATCAGCGCAATTTGATATTTTCGCGACGCTGATATATTTGACGGGCTGACACTGATTTAGAACCTAATCGATCAATCTATCCCGTTCTTTCCAGCTTTTTAGATAAATTTCCAATTTCTTACCGATCAAGTGTCGCGGGCCGCCCAGCATAACCTGGGGGACCCATTGGTCCTCTTGGTCCGGTGTAGCCACTGTCACCTTTGTCGCCTTTCTTACCGGGGTTGCCTTGATGCCCCTTGTATCCTTTTTCTCCAGGTTTGCCGTTCATTCCATTGTTTCCCTTTTGGCCTTGAATTCCTGGTCGACCTTGAGCACCATTCGATCCAGGATTGCCTCTTGGTCCCTCATCTCCCTTGGCACCTGTTCGTCCTGTTTCTCCAGCTGGTCCGGTTGCGCCAGGATGCCCCTGTGGTCCAATCGGTCCGGGTTCTCCTTTTTGTCCATCGTCACCTTGTGGTCCAATCAGCCCTTGATATCCAGGTGGTCCGGGCAGACCATGTTGTCCTTGCGTCCCGGGCACTCCCTTGTCTCCCTTTGGCCCGAACGGACCCTGTGGCCCTTGAATTCCTTCATCTCCTCTTTCTCCTTTCGGACCAATTGGGCCTCTAGGTCCAGCTGGGCCAGACACGCCCGGCAATCCAGGTACTCCATCATTGCCGCTTTTTCCGTCAACTCCTGGCTCGCCTTTTTGTCCATCTTTTCCAGCTTTTCCATCAAATCCCTGGACTCCCACGCTTCCTTTGTCGCCTTTATCCCCAGTGTCACCGCGAACGCCAGGTGGGCCGCTTTGTCCTTGAGCTCCAACTTGGCCGGGCAGCCCAGGGGAACCCTTTTGTCCTTTTATTCCAGTCTCTCCAGGATTTCCTTTCTCGCCGATTTCGCCTTTGTCGCCTCGCGCGCCCGGATTTCCTTCTGGGCCAATTATCCCTTGAGGACCTTCAAGGCCAAGAGCACCTGGCTCGCCTTTCTCTCCTTGAATGCCCTGGTCACCTTGTTTTCCTTGGACACCAGGCTCGCCTTTTGGACCTTCTGAGCCAGAAGAACCTTTTTGACCTGCATCACCTTCTGGTCCGGGCAAACCTTTCTCGGTTAATAAATTTATTATTTCAAATACAGATCAAGACTAGTTTTAAGCGGGGACAAATTACTGGAGAATTTCAAATTTCAGTGCTTCATTTTATTATTATCGATTTCTATATGAGGAAACACTTTCAGTAATTTCCAACAGGTAGTCTGGTGTCTCAGTCATTTTGCTTCATCTCATAATTTTTTTGCTTTTGAAACGGGGGAATTTTTGACTTTATACTCGCGGTGCAGAGTAATAAATTTTATGATCCGCAATAACTGCATGTAATAATGCTCCGTTATCTATGAAATCATCTTTTGAACCGATTCCTGGAATGCCGGGAGGTCCAGCTGGACAGGAGCAATTTTTCTCTTCTTCTTGTGATTCTTGAATGACCACTTGCCCAGGAGGACCTGGTGGTCCCGGAAGACCAGGTAATCCTCTTGGTCCTTGAGGACCATCTTCACCTCTTGGTCCGATCGGTCCGGTGATTTCCGTGATATCCCCCGGTTCGCCCTTCTGGCCGGGTAATCCATCTTTTCCATTTTCTCCAGCAGGTCCCATCGGGCCAACAGCACCAGGGATGCCAGGTTTTCCAATCAGGCCATCTTCTCCTTTAGGTCCAACAGGGCCAATATCTCCGCGAGCGCCTTTGTCACCCTTATCACCATCTTCTCCTGGTCTTCCAGCATCGCCAAAACTACCAGGAATGCCAGGAAGACCTGGATCGCCTCGTTGTCCTTTCGGGCCAGTTTCGCCTTGTGCTCCAACAAGTGGTTCGAGTTTGATAATTTCGCACTCCCCTTTTTCTCCTTTCGGTCCAGCAGGTCCCGTTATGCTCAGTCCTTCTGGTCCTTGAAAACCTGGTGGTCCGATTGGTCCAGCTGGTCCAGGGGGCCCGGCAGGGCAGTCACAAAGCTGAAGGGCATCTTCTGGGGGTTGATCAGCGTACAAATTTCGAGGGATGGAAGTAGGAAGGGGAGCGGAAGGAGTGGTAGTCCGTAGAGGGCAGAAATCAATGTTGTCTGGAAGCTCGCAGCAAAAACGCTCGGCTAGAATTGACGATGAGAGAAGATGCCTAAGACAGAGAGGCTTATATTTGGTACTTACAGTTAAGAGCAGCTTCAGTATCACAGAAGATGTTTATTTTATCTAGGGTGACATGGGAAGTCTCGTCAGACAAATGAGTGATTCCATTCAACGAAATGTTCGAATCCTTTTGTCGCATCTTTCTGATCCCGATATGCTCGCAATCGGCATACAACGATACCGAGTTCGCATTGACGGACATCAGAACCTTGTGCCGCCCGGGTTGAAATAAAGGCTCGAGTTTCTTGAACTTCCGAAGATCAAATTTGGCCTTTGTTTCGCGTCCGTCAAGTCCAAGTCCGCCAAAAGTCACCAGTTTGTTTCGGAAATCGACTTTTATGACCATCTGTGTGAGGCCATTTTCATCGTTGATTTCAAGAACTCTCCATATTTTAGGTTTTTCAACATGTTTTTTAAGTAAAAAGTCAATTTTCAAAATAAGTAAAACCCAAAACCCATGATTTTCTCTTCACTTTTGAGATGTCATAGACGAATACGATAGTATACTGATCTGGTAAACCCTTGGGAAAGATTTCATGTGTTCTTTTTCGATTCACGAGAAGATTTGAAGGAGATGAAGTTTCGCCAAGAAGATTTTCTAGTGATCGCTGCGTTGATTCATCCGCTGAAATTTTTTCAAACACCATAAAGAGATTTAAAATACTGAAAACATAGATCTTTTTTGCGTCACCACTTTCGATAGTATATATTAATATTCAGTAGAATTGTTAATTACCCCAACTCCGGAAATTGTTGAAAAATGTTAAATCGTGAAAAATCTTACCGAATTTAGTAAACATCTGCAGCAAGTCAAATCCTAAATGACTCTTCTCATCGAGATAGCCAATCTTCTCCAAAATATTATCAGTCGACATATTCGGGCAAATAGAATGAATGCAAATTGTTCTTCTCAAACTCGACCTTCAATAATTTTTACTAAAAGAATTATCGAAAACCCTAACCGTATACTTTCAATGGCGCTGTAGTCAGAAACGGAGAATTTATGGCGATGGGTGGGTTTTGAAGCGATCTCATCGAGCTCGTCTTTGATTGCATGGCCGACTCCGACGGCGTAGACAACTATTCCATCTTCCTTTTTAAGACTTTTCTTATAATATCTTCTCAAAACATAATTATGGTGTCTTTTATTCAAAACAAAAAAGCCGTTCCTGTGCAATAACCGAGGGCCCAGCTACATTGTCCTGTGCCCTCCCATCCGTTAAGACGATCATAATCCTATTGATGCCCTCTGATAGTCCTCTAAATAAACGCTCATTATATTCTGAGGTCAGATAAGGACATAATTGGGAGAAGGAGACAAACCTGGCGCCGGAAGTCTCGGCAAAGGCAACTTCGCTAGCGAAGCGGATACTTTCTCCAGTCAGCGTGTTCCCTCGCTCGTACATCAAACTCTGAGCAAATAAAATCAACACAAGGGTCATGGGCAATTATCACTGGCAGACAACATAAAGAGGTTATTCTCTCTTACATGGATCGCTTTAATCAAGTCTTCTTTGCTCAATCCATTTCCCAGCGAAATTTCCATCCTCGGCGCGTCGGAATAAATGACGACTCCAACTCTGGTTCCGCCGCCATCTTCTTCGATGTCGAAGGTGTCGACCAATTTGCCAATCCATTGGCGAACCTTTTCGAAATCCTTACAAACGAGATAATTGCCGCCACTTGATTCGGAGTCAGCTTTGAAAGAAGATTATCCCGTGCCTGATCGCCAACAGAAGCCGAGCTGTCAACGTTGAACACGACGTCGTATTTTACCCGGCGGCACTCTGAATTTTTATGATTTTATGATCAGACATAATTTAAAAGAGGCTGTTCTTTAGTTTTTGTGGAAATTGACAAAAAAGGCAAAAAAAATTTAAAAATTCGGCAAAAAGGTCTTTTTTGGAAAATTGAAAATTTAGGAATTTTCTTAAGAAAAAATCGACAGTTTAAGAATTTACTATAGAAAAAATCGATAATTTCAGAATTTGCTTTTAAAACTTTCTTTTTCATTCTTATTTTAGAAAAAATATATTTCATGCATCTGTGAAGACAGCTATAAACACGTGTGCTTATTTTGTTATTTGAAATTTCCCTTTTCATCGCTCAAAAAAAAAGGTGCCAAATTTAGGCACTGATCGGAATTTTCCCTCAAGCTGATCTCAACTGATCAGCCCCGACCGCGAAAAATTCTAGCGGTCGAGATAATGCTCCATTTTGGACGCAAAAAGGCTTTTTTCGAAGAAGGGAATTTTTAAATTTATTGAATTGGACCTGGGTTAACTCTTGAGTTTCCACAGACAAAACGAACTTGAGGATTGTTTGGTTTACTTCTTAATTGGATTTCGTGATAAATTCGAAGAACAGACCCGCTTAAGAAAATTAAAACAGCAAAAGTCGATCCCACAGATGTAAATTTTCATGAAAAAATGACACTTCCGCGGTTAATTGAATTGCTTTTATCTCAAAAATTATTGATCTAATCGAACATTTTTACAGTCATTTTGTTCAATTATCATGAGTAATCATGAAAAAAGTAAGATAAAGATTAATTTCCGGTTTCGATTATTTTGATGGATCAGCCCGATTATCACAACATATGTTTTTGTCAAAGAGCGTTTAGGGTCATGAAAATTTCAAGAAAATCCCTCTTTATTTGAAAATTGCCGGAAGTGCGGCAGTTTTACAACCTTGAGATAATTCTTGTCATATTTATTTATGATATAATCGAAGAATTTTGCGCTTTCAGACGAAAATTTTTGTTCTCAAAGACGAAAAAGAGTCAGTTTTAACAGGACTTTAGGAAAAGATTAAAAAAAGAGGAATTCCAAAACAAAAGGGTTGGAAAAGATAAGACTCATAAATTTGGAAAGAATCAGATTTGGTACTGGGAGATTGGCAGCAGTCCAACGGTGTGAAAACGCGTGTTTATAGCGTCAGAAAACTTGTCAGATTGGATCTTATCCACGACGCTTCCGCACCCTTCATGACCTTGGTCAGACTTTGGCCATCTTCCAGCTTGATAGATTCTTTATTTTTAATAAGAGGTAGAATATGGACCATATAATATGGTCCATATTATATGGTTGCCCTTTTAGAAGAATGGTTTTCATGGATTAAATTATTTTATCATAATTTTCTGAAAATAAATTTGTCGGTTTCGAAAATTTGTAAAAGATTTATGGTTTTTTCTTAAAATTACGAATTTTTATACTCATAAGTGTCATGGTTTTTTTTTCAATTTTTCATGTTCTGAAAAGGTTATTCGAGTTGAGTCTAGTCGACCCAATCTCGAATCAAAATAAATCACCACCCTTGGCTAATTTTTCATGTCCTCTCTCGTGGAAATCCAGCCCGGCACTTTCTCACCCGTTCCTCCTTACTTTTAAAATCCCTAGCTTTTCCTCCAAGAAGAGAAATCTCCGGTATACGAGTTTTATCCGACTTTAAAAATAACTCACGTGATCCATTTGGCGCTACTCCATCTTGATTTTCCAAAATTGGAACAAGATTTCGTCGATTTCGCGTGCTTCGCTTCTCCGCCGCGGAATTGAAAATTGCTAGAAAAGCGAGAAGAATCTTCATTTTCAACCTTTTTCTGCTTCTAGCGCTCCAAAAATCTCATTTTCTTTGAATCTCTCCCTCTCTTTCTTTTCTTCTGAAAAACTTGAAAATACTATAAAAAGAAGGAGTTGGTTTTTATTGATAAGCAACTAGGTTTATCTGGTCGCTAACGAGGGGAGAAATAAAAAATAATAAGCGTGGAGTAAAAAACACTCGCGGGCGCCCATGAGCGAGACCGAGGGCGCGCCAAAAATTCGGAGACGCATTTTTGAGGGTTGATATCAACAATGATAGATCGAAAATGGAATGATGGTAGCGCATCTTGCTACAGCCAAAAGTACCGGTTGATTTATCCTTACAAACCCAGGTAGATTGGATCGATTTTGAAATATTGTACTTTTTATACAAAAATATGATGCGAAATAATGAGCATTATTTCTAGTGGCCATCAACCGAAAACCATTATTAAAATTAAAATTTTTTAAATTTGTTGTTTTTCTTATAAAAATCTATGACAGTAAAAAAAGAAAACTATTACCCAGAAGGTTGGCTCTAGCAGAATAAAACGATCTTAAGGACCTCCCCGTCAGCTTTTTTTGAAAAATCAAATTTCGGAATTTTAAAATTTTGACCTCGGAAATGGATTGTACGGGTCAAAAAACGATTTTGAGGCTGCATTTTTTGGGGGTCTATCTCGACTCCTTCACCCCCAAAATCGCATTTGAAAATCGGACTTTTCGCCGAAAATTGAGGAATTTGCCCTAATTTTGGCAAAAATGTTGATTTTTCTTGGTCAAATCTTCGTCTTATCAAGTTTTTGAAGCAAGTTTAACTTGAGGACGTATTAAGAAACAAAAATATGGTGTTTTAAAAGATTTCATTTTTTCGGAGCAAAAAGCTGACGGGGGTTCCTTAACGCATGAACGCACAAAATTTTTTCCTGCTGAACGCATATTGCGCAGATTTCTGCGCAGCACCTTTAGAGCGCTCTAGCGACGATTGTGGTCGAGATTTGAAAAAATCAAAGCTACCAGAATGAAGCTCAGACGCTTGCAAACAAGCTCATAATAGTTTAAAATCCTAACCGTAACCCGAACCTCGGTAAAAATAATGATTTCTAAAGTTACTCGAAAATGAACCATTTTTTCCAATTTTTTTCAATTTCATTGATCGCAAATACAAATGTACAAAATACATATATACGAATGATATAATTCGATGCAATAATGCGATTAAACGTGGAAAAAAATTTTCATCGACGGAAAAATTAATTCAGAACTGTTGAAAAGCTAAAAAATCATAATTCGAAAGAATCGGAAATTTTTGTTCTGAAGCCAAATTTTTATCCTGAAGTCAAATTTTTTTCGATGCTAGATTCTGATTCCTCATCGAAAAAGAGCTCCTAAAGTGGGGGTCCATTTAAAATTTTGGTCAAGTAAAGTATGAGATATCGAGCTTTAAAGGGGCTCTGCGCAGAAATCTGCGCAATATGCGTTCAAGCGTTAAGATGAAAATATTATTTTTCATTTTTTTTTGTTTGCCACAGCAGGGATTTTATAAGACCAAAATCTATCAAAACCGACCTTTATAAAAAATCTTTCACTACTGCCACTAGAATGGTGCGATCAGTGGTGCCATTTTCTTACTCACTCCACGCGAAGGTTATGAAATTTCGCGCAGCTTCCACAAATTTGGCGAGCAGCCAATTTGTTTACCTTCTGACCTTCTGTAAAGTACTGTACATATTTGAATACGATTGAGAAATATGTCTCTGTTACTAGCGAGGTCAAAAATGATTCAAAAAATTAAAGCCATAAACCCAATAAATTATTTTTTTACGTTATTTTTTCACATTTTGACATCCGGCCAGCAGCACCGGAAACAGGCGAAACAAGTTTCTCGTCAATCGTGTCTTTGAGCTTGTGAAAAATTATTTACGGCGTTGATACGATGATAAATCAGGGGGCTAAAATTGAAACGAGTCTCATAATCAGTTATTCCGTTTTTTGGAGTCGGACCGACATTTTGATTAATAGACTTGATGGACCTGACTTTGATAGATCAGCCTGTTGGCTAGACAATCTGAGAAAAAAACTGAGTCAGGGTCTAAAAGATCTTTTATAAAAAGCCCTGAATGAAGATATAAATTGATACGGATATTTTCGAAGGCGATTTGCGGCTTTCTTTTTAAAAAAGCCGCTGCGCGGCTTTTCATTTAAGATCTTTCAGACCCTGACTCAGGATGTCAACACAGGTTGATGCGCTCAGATAAATATTTTTAAGAAAAAATGATACTAAGATCCATGCTCAAATAAAAAAAGATAACTCGACATACCATTTTTTGCTAGAATCAAGCCGAATCCCATCCATCATTTTTGTCATTTATGGAATCGCGGAATGAAAAGTCTGATTTTCATAATTTAATGACGATCTGTGTTTTTATGATGAAGGAAGTCGTTGGAGCTGATTTCTGGAAAATTAATTGCCGCACGTCGAGGGTGGGCAATTTTTTAGCCGCAACGAGTCGTTCTTGATTTCCGATTTGGTGGTTTATGAAGTTGATCTTAAAGTTCAGAGCTACTTCTTTTTATTGAAGAAAATTCTCAAAAAAGAGGCTTCAAAGGGATTTTATAACAAATAATAGTGAAAATAAGGGGGTAACTTGGGGTTTAGTTGACTAAAAAGTCGCCAAAGAATAGGGGATTTTCGGTGAGACACCCTTAAAAGTAATGACAGAATTCTGATCTGGCGCCATTCCAGAGCTGTGGCGTGAGAGGAAATTATAATATCAGAATTGGAGGTAATAATGCAAATATCACAAGTTGTGTGCGCATTGCGATCGTCGTTCAGAAGACACGAGTGTTTACAATTGCAAGTATCAATTCGGGCCTAATAGTCTAAGAACACAAACTTCAAATTTATCGAACCAGCTTTTGCCTGTTTTCAGAATAGATAGAAAAATCACTAGAATTGGATTAAGAGAAGTGAATTGAAATCAACGAAGAGAATTGACTGAAGATAAGAAACAGGAACGGATCAAAGATAAATTCCCTTCTTTACGGAATAAAACCAATTATTCTCAGATAACCATAAAACAGTACGTAGCTCAACGAATTTATTTTTTCCCTATCTTTCATATTCGACGATCATAATTTATCATTCGTAAGTTTCACCCAGGCCAATCTAGCATAATGCTGACAATTTGTTAAATCCAATTATACTTATCGTAAATCTTTTCAGGATATTTTCAAAATAATAATTATACTTTCCTTCGGCTGAGCTTTGAGAATCTAAATATATTGCTCCTCAAATACTTCTTTATCGATCCTCAAACTCAGAGTTGCCTGAATCATGTGGTGGTGGTGGCTATTACTAGCCACCGTTCAAGGCAACAATGACCCTCTTCCTGCGCCCGAGTACACAGGCGGTGCTGGAAAATGCGTCATGTCTTGGACGAAATCAGACGGCTGCGGAAAGAACCCGCGACTGACAGCGATCGAGACAGATTTCAGAAGCCTGCCAGATCCGGACTTGGGCTGGATGGATGATAATGGAAGGGAGTGCATTCTGAATAATCGAACAAGGGACGATCCAGATCCAGGACTGCCAGATCTCAGCCCTTTATTGGACCTCGTTGGACCCAATGCTGCCCCTTGCTATGAACCAGCTGGGATCGATGCTGAGGAGCCAAACCGTTTGCACCAAAATCTTCTTCAAAAAATCTGCCCGAAATTCGCAGAAACACATGACAAAGTCTGTTGCTCATACCCGCAAATGCAAGATTTCGACAAGAAATTTAACAAGATGTACAAGGGTTTTTTCCAAGCCTGTCCCTCCTGCCTCAAATCCCAGCTCGAGTACTACTGCAATCTCTACTGTCACCCAGAGCAGAGCGATTTCATCACTGTCAATCAAGTCTTCAACGCGACAAATGACAAGACGGAAAAACAAGGAGTCGATCATTTTACCGCCGCTCTTCCAATTTCTTACACAGACGATCTCTTCGACACCTGTAAAACTGTGAAATTTACTTGGTTTGTCAACACTCCTTGCATCAATGATTTGATACCGAGTGATGGCTTGGCGAGAAATTTGGTCTATGATAGATTCTGCAGGGATGTTCCTTCTAAAGATTGCACTCCATATGTTTGGCTGAACAATCAAGGTCAAGCAATAACAGAATGGCCTCGCTTTGGAACACTCAACAATGTCAAAGCGGGTCCGGAGGACGGCCCGGCTGGACATGTTTATAGTTGCACTGAAGATCTCACGCCAATATATGCGGCGCCAGGGATCGATGCCGATACACCTGTGGAATGTGGCTGCCAGAATTGCGCAGAAAGCTGTCCCGAAGTGAAAGAAATCGACCTTCAAGACCCATTTCATCTTGACCAAATCGACCGGTCTTTCGGCTCATGTTTGTTTCGACCAACTTGTGGGCCGAATTATTTGATTCCAAACGGCGACGGGTTAAACCGACCAGATGTGCCGTGCATGGCATACGATCGCCCAGCCTACGAGTGGAGGGAGGAGAACGATGCGGACAGAGGTTTTCTAGAGCGCTTGTACGAAGTCTGCCCGCGATACTTGAACAATTCCCTCGACGGAACTTATACAATGACATGTTGCGATCAAATCCAAATGAACACTCTTCGCGACCAAGTTTCTCAAATTCGTCAGCTTTTTGGTCGATGCCCTGCTTGTGTCGAAAATGCCATCAATATGTTTTGCCACTCCACTTGCGCTCCAGATCAGGCGTCCTTCATCGACCCCTGATCGGATTCAATACTGTCGATCGAGACGGAAACGAGGCGATTGGAATCCACAGGGTGAATGTTTATCTGACAGAAGATTACGGAGAGCGGCTTTGGCAGAGCTGCAAGGATGTCAACTTTCCGCAGACGAATGGAAAAGTCATCGAGGGTTTGATGTGCGATGGGCTTGTAGGAGATGACTGTAACGTCGAAACATGGTTGAATTTCCAAGGATCCACGAACAATGGCTTTTCCCCGCTGACGTATAACTATATTACCGTCGAGATGGGCGCGAAATCAGGAAAAGAACTCGACTTTGAAAATCGATGGAAAAAGCCGAGAGGGTTAGAGCCGCTGCCTGAAAGTGATGTTCCAAACGGAGCTATCCCTAAGACCTACGAAACCTTTCAATGCGAAAATGTTTACACAGATCCTTACAGTGGAGTAAGCGGAACTTGCTCTTGTCAAGATTGCGAGGCAGTTTGTCCTGGTCTTTACGAGTACCCAGAGCCCGAACCCAAACCGACAATCGGGTCGATGGATAAATGGGCTTTCGTGGGCATGATGGTCGGAATTCTCCTCGTAGTTTTTGTCGTCACCTTTTAGTCGTCCGAAAAGCAATCAAAAACTGCCTCAAAGATGATCAAGTTCAAAGTGTTTCTCGAGAAAACATCGAGAAGAAATACGAAAAGAAAACGATCGATCCGTCCGAAATTCCTTGCATGGACAAAGTGCGATACAAGTCTGTCATGTTTCTCCAGTCAGCGTTTCATTGGTGGGCGAAAAGATTCGTTCTTCGTTTCCCAATACTCAATATTCTATTCTCCGTCGCTTGGACTGCTACTCTTCTAGCAGGATTCAAAGATATCGAATTCACAACAGATCCGATTCGATTGTGGGCCTCGCCAGAAAGCAGAAGCTTCAAGGAGTACACAAAATACAATGAGTATTTCAACCCTTTTTATAGGGCTTCAATGATGATCGCAAGATTGAGGCCGGAATATGCAAAAATGAATGGGGGCGACTTTCAATACTCTTCTCCTCAGGAATTGATTGACATCATCCGATGTCAATATTTATGAATAAGGAAAACATGAACTCTTTTAACCTTGACTTCTTCAGCAAGGCCGATTGCCTTAGGGAATTGTCTACTAGACAAAGCGACAAAACTCGATAAAAACTCTTTGTCAATCAAATTAAGGGAACATTCACAATCGACAATTCATTAAAACGAGAATACTGGGATGAACTGTACGACCTTCAGATGCGTCTCAAGAATCTCAATGCTTCGTATGAGTTTGACGGAGAAAAACGTTATGTTACCTGGGATCAAACCTGTCTCAATCCTTTGGCGAAAGAAGAAAATGGCTGCTCCTTGTTTTCGCCGTTCAATTACTTTCAAAACGACCGAGATTTGATTTGGAAAGACGATTGGTATTTCGTAAAAGTCGATCAAACTCGAGAGGAAACGAGTTATTTGGATCACTTGATTTACTGCGCCAGATCTCCGTCAAGTCTCGGAAACAAGTTCTTGGTGAATATCGAAGATGACTTTGTCAATGGACTTCCCTGCGCAGGAGATTTTGGCTCACCAATTTTCCCCTATCTTGCTTTTGGTGGATACGAAGATGACGATTACTGGAATGGCGAAGCAATGATTTTCAACTTCATCAATTCGAATGTCGAGGACAAGGATTCGGAAGAATTTGCGCGAGTTATGGCTTGGGAAGCGGAATTTATCGATATTATGACAGAAGAAGCGCCGAAATTGAAATACTACGATGTTGCGTATTTCTGCGAAAGATCTATCGAAGATGAGATTGACAAGACAGCTGAAGAAGATGTGGGCATCTTCATCATCGCGTATGTTGTCATTTTCTTGTACATCACTATCGCTCTTGGAAAATATTCGAGCATCAGGCGAGTTCCAATCGACATGAAAGTCTCTCTCGCTGTTTCTGGCATCATCGTCATCCTCGCCTCCGCATTCGCAGCTACTGGAATCTTTGGCTGGCTCGGCGTTGCGTCAAATTTGATTGTTGTTGAAGTCGTTCCTTTCCTTCTCCTAGCCATTGGCGCGGATAATGTGTTCATTCTCGTCATGGATATTCAGCGAGAAAAGAGAAGAGATGGAGAAAGCTTGGACGATTTGATCGCTCGGGTATTTTCAAGAGCTGGACCGAGTATGCTTCTCTGCGCGATAACAGAATCAACGGTGTTTTTCATGGGGTCTGTGATTGATATGCCAGCGATAAAGGTACGACTAAGAATGCAGGAAGAGGAAATACAAATACGAAATTGCTATCAATGACATTCTTATAATAAAAAGCAAAATTCGTTAATTATCTTACCTGATTATGGTCTTTCATCTTTCAGTAATACTCGAAAAATTTTAGGTTTTTGCATTGAATGCCGGAATCGCCATCCTCTTCAACTTTATCCTACAAATCACCGCCTTCCTCGCCATCGTCAAGCTTGACCTATCCCGTCAAAACGGAAATCGATGGGACATCATCTGCTGTTACAAGTCCCGCTCTGATAAAGATGCGGTCAACGAAAACAAAGAATCAGTCATCGACAAGTTCTTCAGAAATTACTTCACGCCGGTTTTGATGCATGATTTGGTCGGTTTTGTGGTCATTTGCGCGTTTTCAGCGATGTTTGGTTACAGTTTATACAGTATTTCAACAGGTAATTCTGCACCAATTTACATTTATAAATGAATAAAAATTATTATTGATGATCAAGTGAAACATCTTTTTATAAATACCGACAATTCGAGCTGAAAATAATTTTATGGTTTTCAAAAAATGCTTTTAGCTGTGGTTGGATTGAATCAAAATCTCTCCGTTCCTCTCAACTCTTACGTCGCCAAGTATTTCGACTTCATGGAGACGTATCTTATGGTCGGCGTCCCTGTATATTTTGTTCTCGAGGGAAAATACCCATTTCACAAGGAAGAGTTTTCAAATCTGATCTGCGGAACATCTGGCTGCGATTTGTTTTCTCTTTCTGAGCAGATTTCAAGAGCTTCTCTACAACCTGAAAAGTAAAGTATTTGTCTGATAGACATTGTTTATATTTCAGGTCAAAAATCGCTACCCAAGCAACAATCTGGGTTGACGACTACAAAGATTGGCTCAAACCCTCTTCCTCTTGCTGCCGAACTGAAAACTGTAACTATCGAATCGACCCCGATGATCCGGAGTACAATCAAAAGTGCGATTTCTGCCCAGCCAACGTCGACGCTCCTGCTTTCCCAATTTTCGAAAATTCCTGTCTCGACTGCCAACGAGGCATTTTGTCGCCAGAAAAAGCTGAAGAAAGCTTCAAAACATATCTTGATTACTTTTTGCTAGGTAAAAATTATCTTTCCTTTTTCTTTTTCTTACAAGTTAAGATAAACCAAACGAATTCTGCTCAAAAGGTGGATATGCGTCCTACAGTGCAGCTGTTAACTACACGATGGCGGATGAAGTCGTCTATGATTCCATCGCAGCATCAGCTTACATGGCTTATCATCCTGTCTGTGTTGATTCCGTTGACTGTCAGGTACTGGCCTATTGCTTTTTGGGCATGGGACTCAATTCAGTTTAGGCAAATCTCGAGATGGGACGAGAATTAGCGCATAACATCACTTTGACGATTCGAGAAAAAGTTGCCACCATCAACAACCAGTCAGGTCTCGTTCTTGGGGATGAAGACTACGTCGACCCTGAATCCATCTCTGTCTGGACTTATGCCATCTACTACCCTTACTACGAACAGTACATCACTCTTGGTGGAGATGCTTTGATTCAACTTGGTATTTGTCTCATCCCAGGTTTGAAAGAAAGAGATGAAACTTGTCGTTCACGTTTCTTTAAGTTTTTGTCTTCACATTCATTCTGCTTGGATTCGACGTTGTTTCCGGACTGATAGTTTTGGTTACTGTTGGTTTGATTGTCATTGATACTTATGGCTTCTGCGTTTTGTGGGATGTTGACATGAATGCTCTAACACTTATAATTATGGGCTAAGATTAAGTAGATTCAATCAGACAAAACCTTAAAAAATCAGTTTCTTAATCTTCCTTCTCTATCAGATCGATCTTATATTAATTTTAGGTCAGGTTATCACTGTTATAATTTTACTCATTAGAAAAGTTAGAAAGCATCCTTTTGGTTTTTGAAACAGATTTTTTCTAGAAAAAGAAGAAGCAATTAAATTAAGCCCCCTCAAGACCTGATTTCCGCTGCAGGCCTTTCCGTTGAATTCTGTGGACATACAGTCAGAACATTTGCCTTGACAACAGAAGGAACAAGAAAAGACCGAACAATCCAGACGATGTCTGTCATGGGCCCTAGTGTCCTTCTCGTAAGAAATCAACTGAAAACGAAAACTGAGTGTTTCTATTTAGGGTGTCGCTCTGACAAATTTGCCTGGAATCGTGTGCCTAAACTGGGCCAGTGCTCAGCTGATCGAAATTTTCTTCTTCAGGATGAATTTTGTCATGACTTTGCTTGGCATTGCTCATGGATTGATTCTCCTGCCGGTTATTCTCGCCTATTTCGGTGAGGCTTTCTTCATCACTCGAAACAAAAACCTTTCAGGCCCAAATCCGAACAAAGCAAAAATATACGAAGAACAGCAAGAAGCTATCGCCGAGCTTGGAAGAACTCGATCAGAAACGAAAACGGACAAAAAGACCGACTCGATCAAAATGAAGCCATCCTCCAAAATCGACCCGGCGGAGCCATCTGCGCCAGGATACGCTGATTTGGAAGAATCTGCTTTCTGAGAGAATCGGACAAAATCGGACAGAGCGAATAGGCTTGTAAAATTTTCACTGTACAAAATTAGAATTTGAAAAATCCTATGAGATTATGACAATACATCAGTTATTTGAATCTTCAAATCAATTTTCCATTTTCATTCGAGACAGAAAAAGGTTCTGAATCGCACGATCGTGAGAGAGAGAAAGAGAGAGCAAACAGAGTCAAATGTCGCGTGACTTGAACTTGAACTGTTAAGTTCACTCCAAGGTCCAGTTGTCTCTCAGACTCGATCCGAGCAGCACGCCGTGGAGACAGAGAAACATGTAAGTTCATTTGTGTAATGAGCAAAGCGCAAATAGAAGTCTGTCAGATTCGTTTTCTCCCAGACTGGGATCTCGGAAGACTTTATTCGCGAATCGCGAAGAAAAAAACGCGTGAAAATTACGACCTCTGAGTAACGTCTCAACGTCCTTGATCAATAAAATTTCTAAAAAGGACTCTTCAAGATCGCAATTTTCAAGATTATCGTTCTAGTGATGAGTTATTTACGGGCAAATTTCGTTACAAGAAAAATTTAAAAAATACATAAAACCATATTATTTGACCAAAACATCTATTTTCCATTGAAAATGACTGAAAAGAGCATTATTATTGCAAGTTGGAAGGCTACAAGCTCTCATCTCTTCAGAAATAAGACCTAAAATTAAAGGGTTCCGTCGATTTTTCGAAGCCGTAATGGGCCAGCTCAGGTTAATGGGATTCTTTTCTAGAGCATTTTTCATCCCACTAACCCAAATCCTGACTTATCAAAGGCTCTGTGTAATATTTTTGCTTGTGTCTTTCTCTGTATCTTCCTCTCTCTCTCTCCGTTATTGAATTTCTTTGATCTAGAAGTTCGTGGAATTTTTATCAAAAAAATCGATAATTATTTCTCTCTTTATATTTCCCCGTCCGCCCGGAGAATATTCCGCAGGAGACGAGTGCGGTAGCTTTTATTGACTCAAAAATGCTGACTGGCACACTCTGGCTTCGTCGCTGAGACTCGATGCCAGTTCGGTCGCGATTTTGGCCTTCGTCCTTGTTCAATGATCTTTCAAAAATTTCAGAAAAATATTACAAGAAATCTTAAATCATTGAGATTTTGGATAAAAAAAATTGGATAAAAAAGTGTTTACGAGTTCTAAAAATCTATAAAAAATGGCGAAAAAAAAAGATTTTTTTTTTATTTAAAAAAGTCGCAGATCCTGAAAAATTATTATATAAAAATTTCTCTGAGAGGTGCAAAAGCAAGAAAAAAAGATGAAAGAAGCCGCCTCTACAGAGAAAAATAAGCGCCGGAGGCGAGTCAGGGTCAGGGCAAACAAGTATTACGAGATGACATGCTTTCGTCACGTGCCAATTCAGAATCGCAACCAGCAGATGATTCGGTTTCAATCACAAAAGAACAGGAAGATTCATTTTACAAAAAAGTACTTCTGACTAGAATTTGAACAAAGAAATCAAGGAAGAAAACACTCATTTTTCGATCGAATGATTTATTCATAAAAAATCTCTCCAGTCATCACAAAAACTTTTTTGATGGAGCAAAATGAGGGTAGTTCATTGTTTGACAGATGGAGTGCGCTTGACTTGAGCAGAATCTTGTTCTGTAGATGGTTGTTGAGCTTCGAACTCGACTTTTTCCAGGACAGGTTTTTCTTCGAAAACATCACATGGCTCTTAGGAATCCTCTTTTTATTACCCATTCTGTGATTTTGACTTTACCTTGTTCTTGAGCTTGTTGAACTTCTGGAGCAGCTTTTTCCGCTGGAACTTCAACTGGTTCCTCTCCCAACGATGCGCGAACCTTCTTGATCATTCCACCAACCTGGTCTAAAATGACTGTAAATCAACTCCTCCATCACATTTGAAAATCACCAGAAATGCTCTGAATTCGTTGTTGAAGACCGCTCATTTTCGTAAATTAAAAAACTCTATGTAATCACTCTTTGCGAAAATTGAAGTAAGCTGATTATGAAGCTTTCTGCTGACTAAAAAGCAGTTAAAATCGGCGAAAGAGTCGTTTTACTTTTATTTACGATTTATTTTAACGATGGGACCGTCTTTTACCCGGAATTTTTACGATTATTTGACACGGAAGTTAAATTTATTCATAAATTCTCAAGTTTCAACTATCGATAAACCAAAAATCGCGAAAAAAACATCAAAAATGTCCAAAAACATAAAGCCGACCCAAACTGAATGATAAAGTTTAACTTATAATAATTTTCAATTATCATAATTTTCAACGGGTGACTGCCCACACTTCTACTCCTATCCTGTCGCGGGCCAACACTATTGGAGTACTTTATTTTTGAATGAGTTCTTTCAAAATATATCTTATGAGATAAGCTCCCCCTTCAAAATAATAAATAGAAAAAGGATAGAGAAATCTCTGGTCAGAAGAAATAAGAAGATGGTTTTCCTCAAATGGACGCTGAGATTATTTATTGGAATGATTTTGCTAAGGGTTGAAAAAATTACTTGACCGCCAAAAGGGAAAAATTACCATATTTGTGCAAATTTTACTGATGTTTTTCTTGTGAGGTTGCACAGTTTGTATACCAGGTAACAGTTGGTTAACTTAGAGCTTCGTTAAGGTCGATAACAGTAACTCATTTTTGCTATAATATCCAGATAAATTACTTTTGTGAAATCTCGTACATGCAAAGAAAATAAGACTCATATGGTGAGCAAAAACTTTATTTCTAGAATCAGAAGATTGCTTGAGCTGAGCAATCTTCTGATTCTAGGATAAAGTTTCATTTTTTGCGGCGATATAAATATGAGAAAGTTATTCAATTTCTCGGACTAAACCAATTTTTGGAAGTGATATTTTGGATCACAAATAAGATTGCTGTATTTGGCCTACCGGCCAATCAAAACCCTTTCCATAAAAATCTGTTCCGAAAATTGGTTCTACCCAATTTCTCTGGAGATAGATTAAGCTAAGCGAAATCAACCCATTCAAGTGCGATTTTGTCGATTTGGAAGGAATTTTCGACAACCATCAAGTTTTGACTACTGGCCTTCTTCGTTCACGAAAACGACGAGATGTCTCGAATTCTGACGAGGTAACTCAATCGCTGCACGAAGAAAAGAATATTGATGATGACTTCGCCATTCCCATGTCAAGAGAAGCAATCAAATGGTGCTCCGGAAGCGATGACGTCGACAACGAGTGCGATCACGTGATCGGCTTTCAGCCAGAAGCGCACTGGTTGATCTACAATCGTTATTTCTTCGACGAGCTTGATGGGATTCCAGGGGATTCTTCCGTCATCAATCAGTACCGAAACAAATGCGGTTCAAGCCGAGCCGGTCCATTCCCAAAGCTTTTCCGAGCAAATGACGATATGCAATCAAACTTCGGAATCGCGATCGAGAACTTTTTCATGCCTCCAAGTATCGAAAGCTACGGAAACTCTGCTCGCGTCAAAAATCAACTAGAACACGAGTGCCCGAATCTCAGTCCAAGTCAAACCATCAGAAGCGAAAATTTTTCAAAAGATCATTGTGAAGGTAAATTATAATGACAGTCATTTTTATTGAAAAATAAGGGCCGTCAGAAATGGAAAATCCTCTCTTGAGAATAAGCACGGTAAAACAATCGGAGAAAAAAGAACAAGCTGTTGACTTACTGATGTATCTTAGGACCGGTTCTCTCTTTTACTAAAAGGCTATTTGCCCTTTCAAAAGCTCCTTTCTTTTGAATAAAGAAATCAGCAAGAACCTTAAAAAGCTCCGACGATTGGGCCGGCTATACCTCCGCCCCTTCCCAGTCCTCCCTCGACGATAAAACGCGTTGCCACTCGTCCCATCTTTGTGGATACCCAATCCATTGTGACTACGACGAATGGACAATAAACGAGACAAAAAACTATTCTCGAAAGTCTCGATTCTTCTACGAAATCAACTGCAATAAATCGATGCCGATGCTGATCGCGTTTTATCTTCTAATGATAATGTCGATTTCAACCTATGGAAATGTTCTGAGCATTGTCACTCTTGTCTCAAAGCTCAACTGTCCTCTGAAAATGAGAACTACTCGTAGGAGACATGTAAAAGTAAGTGTAAAATTGAGAATATAAATGTCTTAATTGAGATTCAGATCAAATTATCGCTTACCATCGCAGATCTGATACCAGCTATCTCTCTTTTGCCAATTATGGTTTATTACGTCCTGACAGGATATGGCAACCCGTCCCCTAGTGCTCATTACTATTACGGAATGGTCCAGGAATCAAAAGGCGCGGTCTGGGTCAATGTTTCAGGTACTAATGACTAATCGCAGTTTCGAGCCGACTTTTGACTGTTCCTAGGAGTCCTGTACATCATCTACCTCGTCAGCACCGCCGCGAATCTTTCCCTCCTCTCTACTGAGCGATTTATTGCTTTGAAGTTTCCACTGCGAAATTTATCATTTTTGACCGACACTGGTTGCAACTCAATTATCTTATTCATCTGGATCATTTCGATATTCATATCTATCAGTAAGTCCCGAGTTTATTGCTCTTTTTTCTCTTATCGATGGTTTTTTTGATCAGTTCCATTTCTGATGTATGACTACTTTGGCTACTCATTTGATCCTCAAGTCTTCCTCAATAGCATTATCATCAAGGTATCAAGCCATAAAGTTGAAGACATGAAAATTCGATTTTAAGACAGACAAGACAGATGGAAGCAGACTTCATGGACTTTTTTACGTCTTCTGCGCTTTTGTCGGACCGTATTTTTACAACCTGATTCTTTGCATTCTCACTCTTGTTACTGTCCACAAGGTTGGTTACTCCACTATCTGTGGAGGTTAAAAGATCTTTAAGAGCATGAGCGATCATCGGATATTCGACCAATCTCAAAGATACATCAGCACAGAGCGGGAAATTGCCAATTTTCAATGTAAGAACTTCAAAATTTTCGCATGAAACGTTCTCATCCTTGATTTCAAGTTTTCCGAGTGACGGCAATTATGGTTGTTGGCTTTAGTATGACATTGCTTCCATACTCGATTATTTTGCTCTTGTTCGTCGCTGGAGTACTGACATGTGGCCCTACTACGTCGAGGATTTTTGTTTTTGCCACATTTTTCAGGTACTTTTTCCTTCGTTTTTCATGAAAAAATTCTTCTAGTCTATCTGCGTGCGTTATAAACACAGTGGTTTACAACATTTCGTCGCAGAATTTTCAAAAAGAAGTTCTTTCATTAATTGGCATTGACAATCAATTGAGCAGTCGTTCCAGAATAGCTCAAATTGGAGTAAGTTTATGACAACATATATGGTTTTTATTGTTCTTTTTGAAGCCATCAAAGAGGATAATTGCACGCCGAACAAATATCAAAACGATCACAAGCGACGAACATACGCTTATGGAATGAATGGTTTCTTTTATTTAATTTTTTTGTCTGCCAGATGAATCAACAGCAATAATAATCAAGTTCAATATTTCTCAAGAATCCAACTCGCCATTTTTTCATTGTCTGTTCTTGTCACGACGATTGGAAGATATCCGTCGCAGTCTTTGTCGAATCCAGCGACGATTCCGTGAAGGTACCAGCCTTCTTCTTTGCCCATATAGCACATTAATGGTCCACCATTATCGTAATTGCACTAAGAAAAAGAAAGATTGAGACCTTGTCAGATTGGCAATCTGAGATTGCCCAGAAACTTACATGCTTGAAATCTGGATCATCATTTGAGTAAGTGCTCGTGTAGCAGTCCATTTCTTCTGACCATTCATATTCAACTAGGATAAGCAATACAGAACTGCTAAGAAATCATTTTTTATTCATTACCGAAATTTGAGCTCTCAACCATTATATTCTTGATAACACTTTGACATTGAGCTGAATCGAGTCGCTATAAAATAATTTAAGTGTTGTTATACTGACCTAGGAGTTCCGACTTAGCACTCCGAAGATAGGAGTCAAAATATTGACAAACCTGAACAGTTCCATATGAGTTTCTCCGCTCTCCGTCTCGTCCTTGAAAGCCGACAGTCACACATCTGTAGGCTTCTGGCAAGGCCCATCCAACGTGTCCAAATCGGACAGGTTTCACATATTCAGTAAATTGGAATGATTCGAAGGTTCGGAGAACACCGATGTTATTCTCGCCCGTTTTCTGACTAAATAACTGTAATTTACTATCAATAATATTACCTCACTTGTATTCAGGATGATAGTATCGTCTCTCTAGAATTTTGACATCCCAAGCATCCCTGTCATCAGTCTGGAAATCGTTAACACCTCCGACTGCTGCATCTGCAGTTGACAGTCCTGCGAATATCTTCCTTGCACAAAAGCCGGATGTCAAAATGTTTCTGCTTGAAATGAGCACACCCGAGCACATAATCTTCGTTTGCTTATTATCTGTTATGAGAATTGACCAGGGGAAAACATCGATTTCAAGGCTGTTACTTTCTCCGATTATCTTCGGGCTTCTTGTTTTGTTGATGCTATAGAATGGACAGATGCCTTCATTTCGAGACAAGCACATCCACTGACCCTGGTGCTCAAAGCCAAAGAAATTTGATGTGACATTGACTAAAGATGGTGCAGCCGGGCTTTCGGTAGGATGGTTGGCGCTGGCTGAAAATTCGTCGAAAGTTGGTTCCGGTCTATACTCGATTCGAGTTGGAGGAGTTGGAAAGCATTTAATGTTGCAGCCTAAACAAGGATTCTCAGTTGTTGTTTCTGTGGTAGTGGTTGTTGTTGTCGTTGTTATGGTCGTCGTAGTGGAAGTGGTAATTGTTGTCGTGGTTGTTGTCGTCGTAGTAGTTGTTGAAGTTGTCGTTGTCGTTGTGGTAGTGGTAGTTCTTGTTGTAGTGGTTGTTGTTGATGTTGTCGTCGTCGTAGAGGTAGTTGTAGTTGTGGTTGTCGTAGTCGTCGTGGTAGGAGTTGTTGTTGTCGTAGTTGATGTTGTGGTTGCTGTTGTTGTCGTCGTCGTAGTGATAGTTGTAGTTATGGTTGTCGTAGTCGTTGTGGTTGAAGTAGTGGTAGTGGTAGTCGTTGTGGTCGTAGTGGTTGTTGTTGTAGTTGCTGTTGTGGTTGTCGTAGTCGTTGTCGTACTGGAGGTGGTTGTTGTAGTTGTCGTAGTCGTCGTGGTTGTCGTAATAGCAGTGGTAGTTATTGTTGTCGTAGTCGTCGTGGTTGTCGTAATAGCAGTGGTAGTTATTGTTGTCGTAGTGGTTGTTGTTGTAGTTGTGGTCGTTGTTGGAGGCGCTGTTGTACTGATGCAGTCAGGCAACTTGCTATCTAAGCTTGGACACCAAACACAATCCTTTTCTCTTGAGCACTCCTGAAAGGTCGCGTAAAAGCTCAAGGTTGGACATGCCCGTCGATTATCACAATTTTCTCCAGGACAGTTATGTTCGTGATAGAAACACCAAGGAGTATCACGATATAATCGTGAAACTGGCTGGTAACAACAATTGTTCGCCAAGCATTCAGCTTCAGTTGTTCCATAATAGCCACAGTCGACTTTATCCTCGTTTACAGCTGTGCATTCGCTGCTTGCTAAATCACAATCGTCATTGTTTTTTGGTCGCTCGATGCATTGATATTCTTTTTCAGACGTTGCGCAGAATAAACATCCTTCTCTAGTACATTCCTCGGGCCTTACATGAAGGTGCTCCTCAGCGGTGAATTTTTTGCAGGGTTTTCTGCAGCCTTCTTCTGATGAGGGACACTGTGACTTTCCGTAAAAAGTTTCCGGTTGGAAACACCATGGTTCATGGCTATTTTGTCCCCATTCTGACCAGCAGCAACCGGCATTAAGACAATCGTGTTCATTATCCTTGTGACAGTTTCTCAAATTATGAGTTGTTTCTACAGCACATTGAGCCTTCCTGTCATCTCTACAGAAATTTCCAGCTAAAACGCTTTCAAAAACTAGTAAAACTAAAGTTGCTCTCATTTCCTCTTCTGATTTCGCAATCCGCGTCGTAGAAACGTCAAATAATCGTGATTTTTATGTTTTGTAAAGGTCAAAAGTGGAATCGAGAAGAAGAATCAAATACTCTGTACTTTGTCTGTCTGTTACTTAACCGCTCATATTACATCATTTATTTTTAGGTGTCTAAAAAAAGATTGATCGAAAATAATCAGAATGAAAATTAAAATATTCGCTGTCAAATGGGTTCTTTAAAAAAAAGTTTAGATTATCTGGCACGAAAACAAAAATGCCATCATCTAAGTACAGCTTTTCATCGCTTAATAACCCGAGACTCTCGAGTCGAGGGGGCGGCATACTAAGATATATCAAAAATGCATTATTAATCGGACGAGATCAAATAAAAAGGTGGAGACGAAGAAGATCAGTAGAATCAAAAGGTTGTTAAATGAACTTTTTACTAAAAGGTTTGTCTCTCAAAGAAAAAATTTTGATAATTAATTTTTTTAAGGAAATTTCGGCAAACTTCTCTTCCTCGTTGGATTTGCCCTTGCCGAACATGGCTGGATGGATTTTCTCGACAAGAGCTTTAACAACCCACGAGCCAAACGAGCCTTTCTTTTGGGTAAAAAATAAAAAAAAAAAAAAATCATAACAAATCATTTTTAAGATGACCACGATACTCAGGGTGCTCCTGATAAAAATTACGATTTGATGATGTACGATAAACGACACTTGATTCAGTCAAGAGGATTTACTGATGATGAGTGGCAAAGACTTCTTGATTTGTTTTAAAACTTGTGCAAACTTCCTTAAATTTTTACTAGAGCAACAAGAAAGCAGTAAAATAATGACTCTTTATCGCAATTTACAACAGTGAATTGATGAATTAAATCGAAAAACGTGAGGAAGAAATGATAATATTAGTTATCGGATAATCGGAAAATCGCGCCGATTGACTTTTTGTTTCTAATTCGGCGCCATCAAACTTGCGTTTTGGCGTGAAAGGGTTTCATCCAAAGAGATTATTTGTCTAAAAGACAGCGAAAGTTAGAGAAACTGTCTTGTTTGAACATAACCGGACTTCAAATTTGTTTCAGAAAGGTTTATCAAAAGAAGATTTAAGGAAAGACTCAAGAAAATGAATAGGGGTGAGTTATTAACACTTGGTCAAAAGAACAGTTTCTTATGGCTGCCTACTTTTTTCATGAAAAAAATCTTACGGCGAGGTTCTTAAAAGTGTATATGAATCGGAAATTAACGATTATCTCGTAGTTATACCAAATCGTCATTTTAAAGAATAGATCTTATCTTAATCATAATCAGACCCAGTCTCGTCAAAACATTTAAGAAAGCGAAATTAAAATAAACATAAAGATTTCGTGACCTCTCATGGATTTTTCAACAGCGCCACCGCGCGTGCTTTATCTGAATAAAATGACGCGTAATTTCGGATATTTATTCATATTCAAATTTTGAAGAAGAGAATAATGAAGCTTTTTCAATTTTTCGCTGCGTCAACTTTTGCTCAAACGGTAAAAAAAGAGAAACATTTTTTATAATTTTCTTTGAAGTGAAGAAATTTTGCGGTAATTGAAAATTATTTTCAGCTTGACAACTCATTCTGGTCCTGTGACTTCGCTTTTGATTACTACGCCCTCGAAGCTCAAAACTCCTCGCTGCCAGACGGAGCTCGTTTCATTTCGAAAGGAACTCCAGCTTCAAAGGATTCCGTCAACGGTTTCATGAAAAGCGAAATCCGTGATGTGGTCTGCGGCGAATCTCAGAATCTTCTGGGCACAAGTCGAAGTGAAACTGAACGAGCAGAGACTCCATCGTGGTTTTGGAACGAGGCACAAGAAGATGGCAGTCTTCTGGTTCGATTTTGCTGCGAGCCAAGTCAGTACTTGGAGCCGATTGACGAGCTGAATAGAATTTTTGCTCTTGGAGGAAAGGCTGGAAATGAACAACTTGATGGCTTGTTGAAAAGAATGAAAACAGACTACAGGAAGAAAGTGGCAAAAGGATACGCGGAGACTGATGCTATTCATTTGTAAGTTTTTTTCGACCAAGAAATGGCGAATTGATTAAATATTTCATAATTTAGCCCATTCAATCTCTTCGAAAACGAGTGTGACCATCTTGCCGAATTCGCCCGAGTTTTGAAAAACTGGTCCAGCGTTCACAATTACAATTACACCAATCAAAATGGCCGCCGACACGCAAAATTTGTCCGAGAAATCGACGAAGCTTTCCTCCAGTTCGGATGTTGATGATGCAGAAAAACCATCAGTTCTCCCTGTAATATGCCTTTACTAACACTTTTTTTAATAAAAATGAATGAAAAACGTCTTCGTTGATTTCCAGGAAAAAAGAGGTTTATATAAGATTTTCTCTAGAAATGTTATCATACGGTAAAAAATCTTGATAAAAATACGCAGTTTTAAAAAGAAGAAAAAATGAAGAGGAAACACTCCGCAGCGGTAGATCAAGAACTGCAGCATACTGATTCTGCCTGCAGGAACTGGTCATTGAAAATTTCATGAAGCTGTTTTTTTTAATTTATCACCAAAAATAAGTCATCTAACAACAGTTAGCGATATGGGCCAAGATATCCGCTACAAACATTTCGAAAACATCAAAAAGTGTAAGGTTCTCTTCCTTGATTTCAAAAAACCCCGAAACCCTTTTTTCAGGCTTCAAGTATGTCGACAGAGCTGTTCAAGAATACATCGAGTCAATGATCAAGCTCAATTTCGTCGATGATGTCACTCAGGTTTCGTTTTAGCTGTCAACAATACTTTTTTGAATGAGGGATGAAGGGACTGTACGAAACGCTGGACGATAACAAGCGCGGGAATCCGAGATTGTCCGTTGGTGTGCCGAAAGAATTGGCGCTTGATAAAGTTTTGAATGAAGCTTGTTGCAGGAAATGTTCGTCAAAAGAGACCATAAAACTTTCATAAACTTAAAGTTTTATTTATTTTTATTTTTCTTAAACAAACCGATCTATTTGTAAAAGTTTCTTTGCTAGCGTAATGAATAGTGTTATATGAAGCTGGTTATATTGAATAGTCTTAAAGATTCTATCTCCCAAAAGGATACACCGCTACGGACGGGAAGTACGATACCGCTTGTTTGAAAGCAATTCTCAACAACTGCACCGTTTTCGACGGATGGTTCTCCTCCGACGGAAGCGGTTGGTTCCAAACCTTCCACAAAGTCGGCCAAGTTAGAAATCAAGTCGTCGGCCACAACGCAACTCAACGAATTGAACCGGAAGAGGCGCTCACGTGAGATAAAGATAATCATTTCTCATTCTCTATTTTGAAGCTTAGGTACTTTTCGACGATCCACGATATGTTTCCTCAACTGTATGAGATTTTCGGAGAACTGAAAGATGTAGAAGGACATGTTAAAATGTGCCAAGAATGCTGCGGGGAAATCAACAAGATTTCATATGCGACGATTGACGCGATTCTTGAAGTTTCAGAAGACCCGAAAGTCAACAAGTAAGCACCATAAATTAGTCTTATTAAGCATGAATGAATAATTTTAATAACGAACAACCAATTGAAGCAAAAATATATAGAGATAGATCGCTGTTATTTTCAATTACAATGAACACATAAATTTTTAAGTCTCTTCTTGCTGAGCAAAGCCATCTTGGATGCATTCTGCAAGTTCGCCGTGAAAAAATTCGTCACAGAAAGCTACATTAAAGAAAAACTAACATCCGAAAAATTCATCGAGTTTCAAAAAAAGATCTTCTTGACCCTTTTTGGAGCATTGGCAAAGACGAAAATTTCGATGAATGAAAAACTGCTATCGACATTCTCAAAACATCTTGATTCTATTTCTGATTGGTCAAGTATTCTTCAACCCGTCGCGAAGTACTTGAACATCACGATTGGTGATAGTCTTGAGCTCAAAACTTCGAGCGAATCTTCTTCGAAAAAGGGTTCTGATTCTCTCGTTGGATGTGCTTTCTCGACATTTCTTGAAAACGCGAATGCTAAAGGACCGGTCAAGGTGAGCTCTAGAATTTTTTGTCTGATAGACGGGCGATTTAAGGCGGATTATGTTTATTTGGTTCAACTTGCTCAGAAGAAAAATGGAACAGATACGCTTGATTCAAATGGAACCGCCATTCTTGGTAAAATTTTTTTCTTTCCCAAATATCGACTCAGATCTTATTTTAGTGCCAAAAGACCAGATTTCGTACGAAGATTACCGAAGAACGAAAAAAATCGTCACGCCGAAAGATCTTCTTCCCCAGTTCGACAATTTAAATGGAGTTCTCCTGTCATCTGATGCGTTCACTCTTTCTTTTTCGACTTGATTTTTATCGACTTGATAATAAAGCGTTTTTATTTATTTAAACAAAAGTCTCAAACGTAGGAAAACTTCTCTTCTGACGAAAAAGCACTTCCAATGTCTTCTGTTGTATCATCAGTTTCTTCATACAAGCGTTAGGTTACGTATAGTTCCATGTCATTCTCCTGACCACAGAATCAGTTACTACAAGTTACTGATAAGGAGAAAAGACAATGTTGGGTGCAACAAGCGGTGATTTTACATTGAACGCTTTCCTGATTCGTTCGAAGCAAGACGTAATCGCTCTGAAGAAAAATCCGGTCAATTGAACTTTCTGGTTTTTATGATTCATAAATTATGATAAATCATGAATTGTATCTTCCCCTCGTACAAAATTATTTGCAGAACTGATTTAAGGGTATCCACGCGATTGTCTATTAGACATTCGCGATTGTCTACTAGACATGGAAATTCGTGGTCTTTACCTTCAGTAGTGCAGTCGCCAGTATCATAGCCGTCCAAAATATGCTTTTTTCGTGAGATTTTCGAAAAATTCTCCGAAGCCGGCCCACTTTCGGACAGTGAAAGATCCGGGTCTCGCGGAAATCCGTAAGCTTCATCATAAGCTTCAAGTTCAATTTGCGCCGCATTTGTCTATAAGTTGCAAAAAAATAAATCTTCGAAGAAAAAAATTGAAAGTATTTTTTTGGAAATCCGGATCAAGAAGAGTCGTTTCATAGGAATTGCTCACTGCGGAATACGAATGCATTGGCTCGAATCGTTCTCCAAAGCTGAAATAACATGCTTGGTTTAAAATATGCTTGACGCTTCAAAACATATGAAGCTTTTTCAGATATTGTCAGAAAAAGCGGCGCGTCTGTCAAAATAAGCCCTCATTTTGGTGCATAGAAATATACCTAAAGATTTAACGTGATTTTAAAAACCCGAAATTTCCGTCTTTTCAGGAGAAAAAGAATTTCATAAGCTTTTCAGTAAATTGAAGAGCTGTGTATTTATAACCTGTCTTGATGACATCTATCTCCGATTCTCTCTGTTTGACAAGGCGTATCGTGAAGTTCCTCATCCGCCACGATAAAACGCTCCATAATTTCTTCGTTGAATAACGTCGACGTTCCAGTACCACTAAAATTATTTTTAAAACTTCATTTTTAAAATCCCTCGATTCAAAAAGATGACGCTACGGTCTTTTTCATCTGCGATTAACTGTTACTCCGTAAAGGTAATAAATCTAATTCCGACCTTGTTTGGGGCCCAAATGGAAGACGATTGAGGTGATATTGCTCGGCGACCAATGACGGGCGAGGTAAAAACGGGTTAAATAAAATTTGGCAAAAGAAGGATTCAAGGCTTTTTATTTAGTAATATTAAACCCTGGTTGTAGGATAATTCCGCGTTGAATACTGCCTCAGACTCAAAAAGTCCCCCTTTCCTAGAACAAATCAATAATAAAAACGACTCTGTTCACCGAAAAAGTCAACGTGCCTGGATAATAATCATCGTCAATTCCCCAACCCATGCAACAAAGAATCAAGAGATCACAACAACTCCACTCGCCAAACTCTGACAAAGGGTTTATTAATTAACCTCTGGAGATAATTCCCTTGCCCCTTGTTTGACGCATTTTTCTCGGACTAATCGACGAAGCCGCGAGGGCATCTCGCTACAGTGGCAACAGCAGCATCTTTCGCCGAAAATGACAAATCTCTTTACAAAGTACAGTCGTTTTCATATTTTGTCACTTTTTCCTTTCCATAGAAAAAATGACTCGAATCTTCTTTTTCAAAAACATTTTCAAAATGGTTTTTCCGACTTAACTCGAAGCAGATGCTGTTTGAAAATTAATGTCAAAATATATAGCTGATTTTCTTTTCGACAAAATCTCTATCATGACAACTCATGAGAAATGAACTCAAAGAACTCTTTCTTTAGTTTTAATTAGGTTCATAGTTTATTGCAGGCTTTGTAAATAGCTGGTTTCGAGACATGTTAGTATTCGATTAAAAAAAAGATCAAAATATATTTACAAGGCGAAAAAATAAGTAGACTGCAGCTCTCATTATTCTGATAAGCAGTGAGATAGAACATAAATAAATTATACGGGAATTAGAAATTTTAAACTTTTGAGCTCAGCGCGACTCCAGTTTTGGAGGACTGAGCAATCAGTTTTGAGATAGATCAATTTTTAAATTGAGGGTTTATAATATAAAAAAGGTCAGTACAAAAGTGTTTAGTTAGTATGAGGTTTAGTGAAATCGGTAGTGGGATGCTTCAACAGCTCCGAAAAGTGAATTCATCCAATAAATATATAAATTAAGAATTAAAAGCTCATAATCTTCACTGAGTTTTTCGGCTCAAAACTTAACTCAACCAATAAGAAGTCAGAATAAAGAAGCAATCTGATTGGCTCTCACAAGGAAACACCTAGCGCCACCTTTGTCAGGACCAATCAGATCGTTTGTTTCTTTAAGTTTCTTATTGGCTAACTAGTTAAGACTGAAAATGACTCTTTGAAAGAGCATAAGAAAGTTCGTGTAGTTGAGCTTTTCTGTTATAAAAAAAAAACTGGGGGTCATTATTTACAAAAACCAGCATTTTAGGAGTCAAAGGCCATATGTACAGTATGAACAAACAGAATTTACAGAAAGAAGGGGGCTATTAACAATTTGTGAGGGAAACGGTTTGTCCAAAGCAGTGGAGATCGCTTTTCGGTCGAGGAAAAGATGTCCAGCTTCGGGGGAGCAAGGAGCGGCGTCCGAACTCGAAGCGGATTTCTCCGTCGAGAATTTCTACTGCCACCATGTGGTCGGAAAAGTAAACGTACACGAAGTTGAAGAATCGGGCCCAGCTCAATTCGCCCTAAGAATGAACTAGAAAAATGATTCGGTTCGAGTTTGTTACCTTTTGATCCTGAGCGTGACCAAATCCAATGCTCGTCTGGAGATCACCTTCTTTCTTCATCACGTTTTCTTTTCCGATGATTATCTTCGTATCCGCTGTCTCAACGACCAGCTCCTCGATCTTTTGCTTTTCGAATTCTAGAGTCACATTCGCGAAATCCGAGTTATTGATCGTCAGATTCTTGGTCTCGATTTGCGAAGCTTTTGAGCATTTGAAGGAGTTTGATTCTGGCTGGATGAGAAGGGATGAAGTTCCACACATGATCGGCTCGTAGGCGAGCGGGAGCTTACGCTTTCCAGCGTGGCGGAATTTTATGTCTGAAAAATTGGTAAAATAGAGTTTTTTAATTTTTCCCCGTTTTTGAAAAATAATGGAACCTTGATACTGTAATCTGTCTTCAATCGATCTTCTATGCCTTCCGAAAATAATCGAGTCAAAATCAATGTCATCTCCATTCAAGTTGCTCTTCATCGCTTCCTGCAACGCTGGTTTGGGAACATGAAGAACCGTAAAAGGTGTAAGAAGATTTCGTTCAAGAGAGCGCTCTTTTATCTGCTCCTCTAAGTCGGCTTTTTCATCAGCTGATAAACTCGGGTCGTGCCATTCTTCCAAAAGCTAAACAAAAAAATTTGTCAGCTTTTATCGTTAAAAAAGCAGTTTTCGACTCGTAATATTCTTCAGAAAAGCAACTTACCTGTTTAATTTCTAGATTCGCCACAGTCCTGGAGCTAAAATCCGCCCAGTGCGGTCGTTTTTCCGATCTCGCCGCTGCTTGATTCCAGAATTTCACAAAGTTTTCTTGGCGAACTCCCCCGAGGGCAGTGTAGTTCAGCTCTGCTCGAATAATGCTCTCTCCGTCTCCCGTGAGTTTTCCGCCAATGATCAGCTCGTTTCCTGGAACGAGTTTTGGGAAGTTCAGATTTGTCAGCGAGTTTTTATCGACTCCGGAAGTGAATTCGATGGAAATGTCGGAAACGCCCCAGTCGGCATGATCGAGGGAATTGCCGATGACGTTGTGGAAGAACTCGGAGGCGGAGAACAACTCGATGTCTTCTTCTTTGATCGTTGTCGTTAGACCATTACCGAGTTTCGCCAGGTTTTTGGTGAGATAAGTTTGGCTGCCGAGATGGATGGTATTGATGTGGATGCCGCGGGAGGAGCGGACGTAGTCGACGGTGTTGAGGATGACTTCGGGATCGGTGACGCCTACGGTAGCTTCGCCATCTGTGATGAGGAAGACGTTGGGGAGCGAGTAGCCGGACGTTGAGCGGAGAAGCTTGACCAGAGCCTAGAATAAAGTTAAGGGTCTCCAATCGAGTTTTTCAAGGTATTTTACCTGAACAATGGCTGTATAAATATCAGTTCCTCCCCCATCAGCTGCTCGAATCATGAAATCCATCGCCTTTTCTCTATTTTCCGCCGTATTATCCATCAAGTCATTTTCCTCATCGAGAAATTCGAGCTCTCGGTCGAATCTTGCAACGTTGAATTTGTCCGTCGGTCGAAGATTCGTTTGCATCAGAGAGATTATCTTGGCTGCTTGTTGAGATCTTCGGCCGAACATGGAAGTTGATGTGTCGAGGAGGAAGATGGCTTCGACGGGGCGGTCGATGTTGTCGTCTTCGACTCGACAGCGGGAGACGAATTCTTTTTCCTCGCCGGCCCAGGAAAGATCACAGGAGCTAGATGACTGAGCGACGTCGAAATTGATGGTTAGCATTTCAGCGAAGGGGTCAAGGCCTGAACAAATGGTACGGATTGTTTTTCATTTTATCGTCAGGGATCATGATAACGTATCGATTATTGATCATAAATAGATTTTATCATAAATTTTGTTTTCGTGAAATTACGGAACTCACAAACTTACGCTTGATTTATGGTGCTCACTTACCATTGTTATCAGATGGAGTCCAGGAATGGCTAATTCCTGCTGAAAATGGACCAGGCTGAATGATCGAAGATGCGTTTTTGAAAAACTCATTCGAAGCTTGACCAAAACTGATTCGTCTCAAGTTTTCGTCGTCCTCGATCATGAGCGTGTACTCGTATTTTGCCGCTTCCATGCTCACTGAAATTCAAAATGAAGATTTTATTTTTCCAATCGGTTTTTTACCTCCGATCGAATGTGAGTAAGAAAATCGCCGTCTTTTGAGGACTTGTTCAGTTTTGATTCTGAACTTAATATTGTGCCCTTTTTCGACAGTCGATTTGACCAAAATCCGGTGTTTGTCCTGTCTCATCTTAACCAAATTCATTTTGCTACCGTCCTGGCTGCTCAAGGAGATCAACTCCAAAGAACGCTTGTACAGCGGAGTAGTGGTGGTAGTGGTCGTGCTGGTAGTCGGATAGAGACCCGTGTCCAAAACCATCGGCGCGTCGGTGTTCGTTTCTTGTGGCTGGTTGATTCGAGAGTGGAATTCTTCACCATTATAGACGATCGTCAGTTCTGAGACAAAGGCGTCTTCTGGGACCATTACGGACATAATTGCTTCGCGTCTTTTTAATTGATATAGAACTTGACTTCAAAGCTTTGAAAACTTATGAAATTTACAGAGACCATAATCCTTCTTTTGATAAATAAGACATAAATTTTTCTGAATGCCTTAACGATGATCGGACAAAATAATGATTAGCTGATGCTTCTCGTGTATCCAAATCAAAATTTATTTTTTAGATTTTTTAATAAAAATTCATATCCAAGCCTAGAATTGCCGTTTGAATTATCAAACTCTCCGGTGGTCACCACGGTGCTGAGTCTTCTAATGACGACCGAGTTGAATTCAACCAGATCAGCTGCGATCTCCGGTGTATCATCAGCCACAAGTCGGAGCATAAAGCTGTCCATTATTTTTCCATCTTTCTTGGCGACCAAAGTAACGGTATTGGAGTCGACGCCAATCAGATTTCCCGGCGCGTGGGCGGACAAAAGCACTTTTGAGGTTTCTTCGTTTTCATCGGTTGTTTTTGACATGACAAAAATCGACCAATCGTCTTTCGATGAAGCAACGGAAAGATCATATGCGTCGAAATCGTTGTGAGCGAGGAATTCAATTTGCAGTTGCTCAGACGGCTCTAGAATCAGTCCATCGATGTTGGAAACCAGTTGGAAGAGCTTCACACTCGCTCGTTTCAATCGAATGATTCCGCTTCCAAGCGTCATTTTCGCCCAAGCTGGTCCTGGAGCCAAGTCGCGGCCGGAGCCAATTTCGACGAATTGAGGACCGATTGTCTTTGAAAACGCCCGAGCGTTGTCACCATCGTCGGAGAGGACTCGGACATCGGAGATTTCATCCTTCGTTGAGATGCTGAAGCGGGAAAGACCTCGTTTTGGCATCTTTTGAGAAGGCATTTTGAAAGCTGACAAATCAGATTTGACCGAGACGGAGACTTCCGCGACCCCATCGCATTCTAGCACCAAATCATCAATCACAATTTCATCTTCCAAATTCACTTCTGGTGCAAAAACAAAGAAGCCATTCGACTCGAGCACGAGGTACTCCATCAAATCACCAACTGAATCCATAAAGATTCCGTCCAAATCTCCCGAGCACGTGACCTCGATGAGTTGGTCGCTTGACTGGTTGTCGAGAAGAATTCCATGCGGTCCGGGGCCACGCTTTTTGTAAATAGGCGAGCGATTTGGCGCGACTTTCAAATCGATGTATTTCGCCAGTTCCTGGATGTTCAAATTTTCAACTTTTCGAACGTGTCCTCCAGAGTACTCCGCGGCGCTTTCGAGGGCGGAGACAACTGATGGATTTTGAGAAGAGTCGACGAAGAAGACAAGCTCGATATCTGACTCGTGAGCAAGAGCAGCAACAGAGTCTGACCAAGAGAGATTTGAGACGGATGAAAGAGCTGAAGATCGGAAAATGAGAGGAGTTCCAGGTTCGACATCAGCGGCGATGACTTAAAAGATGATGTCATTTTCAGGAGGACTGATTTTTCAGATCTCGAAAATTTCGAGTCGAAATCTTCAAAAAAAAAATATAAAATACCTTGATATAAAAACTTGAGGTCGCAATCGTTATCAGCCGAATTCAACTGGAGGGTCCTGGCGGCTTTGTTGGAGCGGGAGTAGAAGACCACGTGACATCCGGCGGAAGCCAAAAAAGTTAACTGCGCGGCCAGTGCGGAATCCGAGTCGCCGCGCGATGATGATTTCAAAAAGACAGGCGGAGCAGCGGATGAATCAGAAGCGGAAAAGGCGGATTTTGCGATTTGGAACAAATCCGCAAATCTGAAAAAGTAATTATTTCTAGCAGCGAGCGAATGTGTTGCTCGCCCATTTAGAAATATTCTGCATATTCTGTAATAGGTTAGAGGTGTTAGAGCGATCTTTTGTGCGTCAGAGCGAAAGTGGCTAATAGCTGCTGCGCAAATGCCATTTATCATTACGGTATTTTATCGTAAGTTGAACTCGTAAGTCGTAAGTCGACTTTCTTCCGTTCAAGGCTGGTATTTTTCTAATTATGCTTCAATAGTTCATGAACGGAAAAAAGAGAAACTTTGAAACAAAATGACATAAACATGACCCCCTTCAATATCATCAGAAAATTCGTCCTTGCGGTTTAAAACGCTTTAAAACACGATCATAAGTTAACAACATTAAATTTCGGATAACATACCTTTGTTCTGAAACTCTGTCGATTGTCATCGTCAATTGCGCTTCCATGTATGCCAGGATTCTGTGTTTATGCCGTATGGAACCGTCACAGAGCTCATCTGATGTCGTCAAATCGATAAACACTCGTCTGAGCAGCTTGCCCAGGTAACGACGAGCTTCGGAGTAACTCCCGCGGTTGATCAGCATTAAAATGTTCCTGTTCGGGGCTTGTCGCGAGCGTTGATTATTAATAAGATCAGATTTTTTTTTCTGTTATGCAGGACGAAATTTGAGAATTTGCTTGTTTTGTCGAAGAGACTTGTGTAAAGGGTGCTTGAGATGAGTAAATTGAGGTCCGTAAAATGAATGATCAAAGACTTTTTATTGAAAAAAAAAATAACTTTTCGACAGATTTAGCTATTTTTTCCTGTTTTGACAATAAAATATTAATTTTTCTGGGAGTTTGAGCGAGTTTTGTCGCTGTTGATGAAGATTCAAGCCAATTAAGGGCGTCACTTTACTGAATTATTTCTGAAAATGCTTTCACGTGGTGTACTAAAATGAGTCTTACTGTTATGTGACATAACTTATGTCAGTAAATAGCTACACAAATATCTCTTTCACGCAAATCAAATCATTTATGTGTCTATTAGCCAGAATAATATGATAAGGGACTAAGGAAGATTTTTACGTAAAAACGCTTTTTTAATTTGAAACCATAAGACTAAAAAATTTTCCAGGTTTTTTCAATTAATTAAAGTAATAATTAATGAAAAAATCATTTTTACTGTATTGTCTCATTAAAATGCAAGCCATTCCTTGAAATCACATCTGGCGATTCGACTTTTCCCTCATCAGCCAAAGCAGCAGAAAAGATGTCGACGAGACTCCCGGCAAAATTTGCCCCATCTTGCGCATCACAACTTTTTCCCAGAGCTTTGAGTGGATCAGGATTCGAGGGGAGTTTTATGTTTCCTAAAATGCATATGTTTTTTAGTCAGTCGGAAGCTAGAATTTCTGGCAGTGCATGTAATTATTTTTTCGAGCGAAAATGAATCTAGCCGGCTGACAAGCGGACTTCCGCATTGGCATCAAAAAAGAGAGACAGGAAAAAATATTCGACGCGTTGAAACTTATCGCGTTGAAAAAGAAAAACGAAGCTAAAAATTCAAAGAGATTTTTTCTTACCGAGCGGTTTTTCATTAAATTTCGCGCAAAAGAAAGTAAAACTTCTTGAAAGCGCTTCGTTTGCAGTTGCCACGAATTGTGTCGAGCAGGAGCTGGAAGTGTTTGATAAAAGAATCGGTTCGTTTAACCGGTTTCTGCGGAGGGCCAAAGGTTCGGGTTCAGGCATCTGCTGCTTGATTCGGTCCCGCTCTATTTTTGCTTTTCTGGTTCAAAAATTTTATTGGGGGAGATAAAATGGGGACGCCCTTATTTGAGCGATCCTTAACCCTAATCCTAGGCCCATTTCGTGCCCTATTTTTATCCCTATTGGACACTAAGGGACCAAAATTGACTCGAATAGATGAAAATTGCTCAGTTATTTTATGATATAAAGAACCAGTCCTTGAAACGCTGCTTCCCGCAGCAAAGAAGCTGCTCCAGCGAGATGTAAAATCGTCGTCAGGAGCATCGTTTTTGAAAGCATGTTTTTCTAAATAACAAAATTAATATTCAGTTTGGAATCTTGTGACAAGGTGAAAAATAGAACGCCAGAGATAGTTATTTGATAGTCATTCTTGCGGGAGAAAGATATCCTCAAGGTGCGTAATCTTTTAAAAACGCTGGGTGTTTTTGGAGGATCTGTTTTTTGTGTCCGTTAGACGAGTCGGAATTCGAACTCTTCAGAATTTGAATAATTTATGTTTACAAAAACACCTGCTTGTTATTTAATTACATCACTTTTGAATTAATTTATTTTGGAAACTGATTTTTCATGTCGAATTTATTTTGAGAAGCACCGATTTTTAGAAATTCACGTTCACTGAGATGCTCTTTTCGGGCTCCCGAATCAGTGATTTAACTCTTTCAAGGCTGCAAATTACAAAATTACCAAATCGACACGAGATGAACTTAACCCTGCATCAGGCACTATTGCGGATCGGGATGATAAGGTATCAATAAAGAGCAGTTTTCAAAGCTGTGAGGGTTGATGATTTACAATCAAAACAATGGGTGATTTGTTAATTGAATATTAGTTCATGCACCTGTCAAAAACTGTTTTTTGTCCTCTTTTTAGATTTTTTTTTCAAGTAAAAACTTGAGAAATTCAACCTTAGTCTACCGCAAATAATACTTGATAAACTTGACTTCAATCTTGGTTTTGGTTATTTATATTGAACCTTGAATGAAAAAAAGAGAGCCAGATTGAGGAGTTCGCCGCAGTTTCAAAATACAGCTTTTGTTGGGCAGCTGCGACCATTCGATTGATTACAACGGGAGGATATACCAAGTAAATTAACGTATCAGCCAGATGAGCTTTAGAATGCGCATTTCCGTAATTCCGGGTAACTGTTTGTTTTTTTACTGAAAATTTGTTGAGGAGCTTTTTGAAATAAGAATCGACAAAAAATAAGACCTGAATTTTAGCCTGGCTTAGCCTTGGCAATCAAATTTCTCCATTCGGCCGACTGGCCAATCAGATTTCAGAAAAGCTGATCTTAAAAATTTCGAATCGAAATTATGGTCAAAAGCCTTTCATTTTGATAATAAATACGTTTGTGAAAGAAATTCTAGAGTACAGTTCAATTCGCGTGTTATCAGTTTCCTCGCGGCTTATCACTCGGCGAGAGACCTTGCGGTGGATCTTTTTCACCAGTTGGGTACACAAAGATTCGAAATTGATAAATCGCACTTTTCACGTTTCGTTAAAAATTACAGGAGACGTAATTCAAACATAATCAAATTTTTCGCGGCAAAAAACGAAACTGAAACCTTCTTTTTTAAAGCTGAAACTTTAGAAACTTTCGAAAATTTAAAAATATTTAAAATTTTCAAAATAAATTCGCAGCTTCAAAAACTGCTTCTTTACCTTTTTGAAAGAATTATGAATATTTGGAAATAAAGAAAGAATAATATTTAAAAATCCCCGTTACGCAAAATTAGGCAAGAGCAAAGGTTTGAAAATTTTGAAAATTTTTGAGAAGCGTCTTTTTAAAACGCAAATAGTCAAATTCGATAATTCGAAAACTCAATTTTCAAAATAACCGACCATTTTCGGGCAGGATGATAAATCATATAAACATGAATTTAGAATCGTAAACAGTAATTACGAAGGAGAGCGGGGAGCGACTTTCGTGTAATACCTTCTTTTTTGTTTTTAAAGCTTCGTGAAAAATTACTGTGAAGATAAATTAGCGTCAAAATAAAAATAAACTTTCTTAGATATTTTTTCTTCCAGGGAAGTCTTCCAGCAAGCGGGGTCCTCCGCTCCTGGATTGAAAAGCGAAATACGCTCACACGGTGTCGCTTATTCTGAGTCTCGTCCTATGCAACCCCTACTTTCATCGGTATAAGAAAAATCGTGGTTTGAAAAACTGAAATACAAGATGAAAGAAAAAAATCTGGAATTCAGGAGAAAGAATTACGGGCGTTATTTTTGGCTAAACTGGTTGCGTATTGGAGCCCGGCAAATTGGATCCGTAATTGGTTTTACGGGAATACCTGGACCGCTCTGTGGCTGTATTTTTTGCACAATAACGAGGCCAGCGGGTTTAACAGGGCCTGATTTTTAATTTTTTTTAATCACGTTTAAACACGAACATCGCTGACTCGGCAAAACCAAACTTGATTTAGGCGACCGCGCCCTGTCAAAAACTTGACCGCGCGAATTTCATAAATTGTCGGAATCGAATTCAACTTTGGAGAAATTATTTAATTTGGTATCAAAATGCTCCATCAATATTCCATTTCCGAATTCAACTCAATGAATAGTTTCCGATTAAAAATGCCTTACTTGGTTCTGAAACCTGTGTTAAAGCTGATTCAGGGTTCTGAAAAAGCAGCTGCGCGACTCTAAAGGACCCTGACTCAGTTTCGAACACAGGTTTTCGACCCAAGATTATGCAAGAAAAAACATGTCCCGCTTCTTTCTTAAAAAAGCTTAGAAAAATTCTCTTCGAATTCCATGGCCAACCGACGAGGGTCTGGCCTAGTAAAAGCCACAGAACGCTGTTGCTAGGTCGCGCCAGGCTGAGCACTATTACGATCGGCGGTTGGAGTAACACTCATCGAAAAACGTGGGAGCGAAAATTTTTTCCCTGACATCTTTTGACATTTTTATTTAGAAGGGCATTTTTTGACCAATGATTTGAAAACAGTTATTTTCAAAAAGAAAAAGCAAATTTGGCTCCCAAAAATTATTTTTTCTAAAAAGAACTTCCTCTTATTTCTCTAAATCTGGGAAGTGCAGCCTGGATGATCCGGGATAAAGTATCTTGACTTTGGTTTGACCACCAATCGGCTCAATATTTTTCTGATTTTGGCCACAAGCTACTTGAGCAATCGTGCTGCAGAAACGAACATGGCCGGGCCACGTCCGGCGGAAACGAAAGGGATGAATTGAGCGTCATTTGCGGAAGAGCGGGCGAATTTTCAAGAAACAAAGAACAAAAAAAAAAGCAAAACCGTTTAATATTTTCGAAATAAGCAGATAAAAAGACCATAATTTTGTCTTCAATTAAATGAGCAAATTTTTTCTTTGTTGCCAAAAAGTGAGAATAATTTCACAATTTTATTCATCAAGAAAGCGGTTTTCAAATTTGAAATCAGCATTCTTGATTGACAAAATATTCAGTAGAGACGGGGATGATTGAAAATCTCAAGATCAACGCCACCGTCGAAAATTAGTTTCTGAAAATCAGGCGCCAAGCGCACACTCATTTCTTGACTTTACTAAAACAGAATAGTTCTGTTTTCTACTGAATGGTTCTGTCATAAGAATTATTCCGAAGATCCGCCCAAAATAGCATTGATTCTTTGGTAGAAATGCGTGATACTCACCCTTAAAAATTGAACTTTCGACAAAAAAACCATCGGTTGGAAATGCGATTCAACACAAAAAAGAAGATTGAGCCTTTTTCTATGGTCGCGTGTTCCGTAACCGTAATTTGGTTATTTGTCGCTTGTGATTTTCTAAATGAGTTTATCTCGCCGCCACTTTGAATCAGGCGGCGACTAAATCCCGACCGCCGACTGATAGCATTGACCGAGACAATCTTCTCGGAATAAGCTCGTAAACTTGGGTTCTAAAGACAGTGTAGGAGATTGATTGTCTACAAGACTTTCACTTGTCCTTCCAGCTTATTTCGACCGAGAACAGTTGTTTCAGTCTGCCCGCCAACAACTTTATCTATACCACGTGAGTTCACTGATTCGATTCCAACTGCGTTAAACATTATCCTCTTGATTTTAGCGAGCTGCGAAATTTATATCAAAATAGTCTTTCTTTCTTTTGTTTTCTTTTGTCACTGGAATTTTTAAAATTTTTCTTTTGACTGTTTGAGGAACTACAGAGACTCCTCCACGTTTGTTTTGTTGATTAGTATGGAAAGTGGCACTTTCCTTTTCAAACAACAATCAGCGTTCTGACAGTCGCGAAATAAGAAAAACAGTGATTGTGAAATCGGAAATTCCAAAATGGCTCGTAAGAATGCTTTTTGAATATCCTTAAAATTCGGTAAAAGACCCAATTAAATATTGTAATGAGGTTTTTCATTATATTTTCAAAAAGAGCCAATGAAAATTCTCGATTTTGCATTTTAGCCAATCAGAAATGCCTTAAAAATGAGTCTTAAAATATTCATAACTGAACTTATTTCTGATTGGCTGAAAATAAAGTAGTTTAAAAAAATCTCATTTAAAGGCATTTCTGATTGGTTCAAATCCAAAATCGAGATTTCTCATTGGCACTTTTTGAAAAATATATAAAAGATCGATTCTTTCCTATTTTTGTTCGATTTTTGATTTTAGACCGACTGTAATTACGCTTATTTTTAGAATCTCTTAAATATCTGTAAAGCCTTCCTTCCGAAGTTCAGTAAGAAAACCAAATGACAGGGCCTCTCTGGGAACCGGTAACCGGTCCAAGTGCTCGTCAGGAAGTGTTCGTTTCCTCTAGGCGGTCGGAAAGGAGCATTTTCGCGAAACCAAGATGGTAACTTAGTTGTAGATCGGCTAGATCGAAATGGAGTCCCGCTGGCTGCGCTTGAGAAAACAAGCGACGTGAAATTTTCGACGAAAATTGCTCTCGTGAGAAGAACAAAGTGGAGCCAAAAATGAAGCTACATTTTGAAATTTCTAAAATTCTTGCGCGAAAAATGAAAAACTCAGGTCAAGTTCAATGAAGAAAATATCGCTTAGGGGACCCTTAATTTCGTCAAAATTGGCATCTCTTTTGGACCATAAGTTATGGTCACAGAGGATTCTAGAGCTGCTACTGCTTCGGGTCTTTTCCTATCTAAATTTCCACTTTCCGCGATATGAACCTGCTGGTGCGAGGTGATTTTCACTCTCGCGAAAATTACGGTGAAAAGTGGCAGTGCGAATGGCGATAACGGCCATTGGAACGTTCCTTGGACTCACACATGCGATCATAAAGTGGTTTTTGCCTGGCCAGCTTGGCAAATTTATCAATTTTTATTTCCGAATGAAAGA